ACTTGTAAAAAAAACAAAAATATTTTGGAATACATTCATTTTTATCTGAGACACACACACACACACACTTCACATGGCGATAATGAAACAAAAAATTTAAAAAAAAAATTTAAGAAAAAAGAAAATTAACACAACAAAAAATAGCAGCCCCAAGTGCTCATTATCTTAGTCCAAATACTTTTTAAACTTTGTATATAATGTATATATTCATATATATTTTTCATTAAAAAAAGAAAACTCGTCATTATCAAATTGCAACAACGAATAAGTAACACAATTTGCTAACATTTCATGCACCGTTCTGTGCACTTGCACATTAAGATGCTGTTTGTTTTCAGAGTCAGCAACTCGACACCTTTCATTCACAAGTTCGAGAGCTGACGAAAGGCAACGTGATCACACCCCAGGACAACAGACTGGACTAACCTCCGATGGATCACCCCTAGACTAAACTAGAAATATCTACGATATATAAACCAACATACTTTACATACACTGTGCTGAGCACTGACGCACATCACACTCGCTCTCAAAAAAGAGTTAATGTCTCAATGGCCACGCACCCGATCCAAGTTCTTAGGCACAAATGTGCATTCATACGCATACAAAATCAGCACGTGTTCAAAAGAATGAGTACCTGTAGTCTCAACTCAGTTCTATGAAATAAAATGAACATGCGCGTGAACACACTCACACTCATACAAAGTCTCGTGATGCACACACAGTAATGTCCCTCATGATTCGCCCCGCCTGCTAGTCCTCACAGGTCTACAGACGGCTCCCCACGGCGGGGAGAGGCTAAGGGAAATAAACTAGTGGTGGTCATCGTGTGAGGAGCGCAAAGATAGTATTTACAAATGTATGCATTTCTATTTCGTCTATCTGGGGATGAAGAGCTGGTGAGAGAAAAGGATGTGTTGTGCAATTGCCCTCTCTCGCTCTCAAACACACATTCATTCATTCATTCATTGAAAACTTCTCTCGTCACTCTCTCAAGACATACAGATCAAGTCCCTGTTTGGAGAAGGGACACACACTTGACATGAGAATACAAAAATTACCATCTGAACAGAAAAAAAAAAAAGGACAAAAATGGCCTCTTATGTTTCATACATCTTGGTAAGCAACAAAAGAATGAAACAAACGAACTTGTGCAGACTAGTATATTACTGACACAAACAAACCATCACGCAGCCGTCATTCTCAAGGTCATACATACACATTCACAAAAATATTCACTTCTAGAACTAACCCCATTTGTTTTTTTGTTGTTTTTGTTATTCTTTTTTTAGGCAAGTGCAAATCTTCAAGTTTTTTTATAATCCATTTTTTCAATAGCTTTACTTTTTTTTATATAAACGTAAAAAAATGCTAAACAAGAGAAATATCAACAGTGTTTGTCTTTTGAGAAAGGATTTGCTCTCTGATAAGGTTTCAACTAAAGGTCCCCCTGACTTTGACAACCTACCAGCCCCGAACATTCACACCCCCGACCCCCCCGCCCCGCCCCCCCATTCCAGTTCTGACGCACACAGATAATGTGTATGTACACATTGTGTACGCGCACTGATTCCCAACAGACTCACATTCGCACACATGAAAAAAAAAAGAACCTATTCAAATCCCATCTCAATAAAGTGCGTTAGTTCAGTATAAGGTGCTTAATCTTTTGAGTGCCAGAGGAAACCCATCTTCCTTTTTAACATCACCCGTCCCCCCACCCCCTCGCCCAAGTGATCAACTGGTGCAGCAAGGAGCCCTTTATTTATTTATTTTTTCACGCCAAAGGGAAGGAAAGAGTGGGAGGCGCATATCCAGGCGCCTCCACCCTGCACATCCCCTCACGCTCGCTCCCTTCCTACCCCTCCCCACCCCACCCCCCCTCCCCCCGGTTCCCCCAGCAGTGCACATTCGTCATCAGGTTTGTCTGATTAAAAGACAGAAGGCCTCAGGTAGCTATTGCTGCTGCGCTGCGTCACATCAGTAATCCTCCACCATCTCCATCTCATTCAGGCTCAGACACTCGCCCGTGTTGTGGAATGAGTAGCCTGCAGGGATGGTAAGGAAGAGGAGGGGGAACAATCAGAAGAGACAAAAAGAAAAAGCAGTGTTAGAAGGGCTGAGGCAAGCTAGAGATAATTTGATAAGAAAAGCCATCTCTTTATAGAAGGTTTAACCTTAAATGTTAAATGTGAGAAGAAACAAACACTCATTGGATCACATTCATGTTCAGTTGAGTAATAACCAAACTTAGAGAGTGGTCACATCCAAGCCAAGGCGGTAACATGCATGGGTAAGACGGAAGCCCAGCCAACGAGCACGTTCCACTCTACAGATTCCTGATACATTTTTTTTTTCCTTTTTGGCTCCAACTCTTACTTTGATCTAAAAGGTGTGTGGCTGGTGCATTTGTCACATTTCACAATATGAATATGGGGCCAAGAGATTAGATTAGATTCTGGTGGTCACATACCTAAGATGCTGGGGTCAGAGTGCAGCATCATGGGCTGTTTCTTCTTCATCTTTCCCCCTTGGATGTCATAGAGACCAGATTTGCCCATGTGGTTGGCTTGAAACATGGACTGCAGGGTGCTTGGATTCATACCTCGCATTGAGTCCTGAAACAAAAGAAAAAAAAGAAAAGATTAATATAATAATAAAAAATAAAAAAATTGTAACGTTTTCAGTTATTAGAATGCATTTTTAACTACATTTTAAATTCATGAATCCATCACTTCGTGGGGAAATCAATGCCCTTTCTTGTCATGGTATTCATTAATTGCTTTTATAGCTTAAATTGACGTCTTGCAAGTGTGCACAAGACTTCTTCGAAGGAACTCGTTTCCTCATGAAGGATGCTCGTAATGTGGACTTGAGATTGTAAAAAAGTGGCGGCAGACATAAAGACAAGACACAATCACAACAACTCAGCTCCATCAGCATACGGCACAAAAGTACATCTGCATTTACCTGCAGAGGGAAGTTCATGTTCAATCCAGCCACTTCCTTTGATAACTGGGATCCATAAAGAGGGGAAGAGGAGGGATTTATTCATTTAAATAGCACACTTTAGAATGCCCCTCCATTTTACTTCACGTGGCTTGTTATTGATAGTTGAAAACCTGATTCCCAACTAAGCATATGCTCTATTCTTCTATTCTATTTGTCAATGAAAATGTACCAGGTATTCAGCACATCCCAGTTATGGTTAAAGTTGATTTACACGGATTGAATTCGTATGTCAGGTTATGTTTTGGACTCTCAGGCCTACCTGCTGTTGCTGTCTCTGTTGGTTGGCTTTCTGTTTGGCACGTCGCTCCAGAAACTGTTTGGCGAACTCTTTGGCTTCCACTGTGTCCCCTAGGTAGGACCGGATGAAGTCCAGTACTGCATAGGGAGACTCCACCTCCTTCAGGTAGGCCACGATAGTGGCAACTTAATAAAAGACAGAGTGGAGATGATTAGCGATGCTAAAAAGAGCATAAAGTGAGTTGTATTACAACACATACCAAGCACATATCTAGGTTTAGGGGGAAGTGTCCCCCCACCCCTTGACGTTGCTAACTTTAAAAGAAACCTACCATCCAGAGAGGAGGACGAGTTGTTGGCAGAGGTGTTGAGAGCGTGCAGCATCTGTTCACACCAGGTCGTGAAGCCGTCCTGAGGCTTCATGCCCTGCAGCAGCTTCAGCAGCTTCTCCTCCTCCTCCGTCCGCTTACGGCGCATCATGTACTGCTCACTGCGGGAGCGGGAAGTGGGGGGGCAGAAGGTTAAATGCATCTCAACTACATTCCTCATGAAAAACATAGGTAAAAAAAAACTGCCACAGTCGGTGGGGGGAAAAGTGCACAGTGTTTTTTGCATTTGAGTTTATTCGATCTGGTCGATGTACCTGAGTGACGGGCTACTGCGGCTGTTCTTCAGGCCCATGTTGTTGTTGCTGTTGCCACGGAGGCCGGACTGGTTCTTCACAGCCTCGTCCCACATGCCCATGCTGCCCGAAGAGCTCCCGCTGCTGCTCTTACCCTCCATGCCTCCGCCCCACATGCCGACTCCGTCCGCCCACTGCCCTCCGATGGAGGAGCTCCCCATGGACAGGCCAGAGTGCTGGAAAGGGATAGAAAAATCATTAGGACGAGTAAAAGGACATTTGCATCCTCCCACCCTCCCCCCGGCACAAAGGACTTTCAGTTTGAACCTTGAGAAACGTCTCGTCTACTCACGCGCTCTCTCTGCTGCGCTCTCTGTTGCTGCTGCTGCTTCAGAAGCCTCTCGGCCTCCTGCTGCATCTCCAGCAGAGCCAGAGCCGGGGGCTTCCCGGACTTGGATAGCCCAGAGGAGGGAGACCCGCTCCAGCCTGATCCACTTGCCCCAGGACCTTGCTGCTGGGGGGTCTGCTGGAGCAGCTTCATGATCAGTTCCTGCTGCTGACGACACTACAGGAAAACAAGACAGAGGTCACTCATAACTTAAGAGCCATTCTTCTTGCATTATACCATACAGTAACATAAAAGAGTAGACGTTCCAATTCAATCAAATTAGATATTAGAAGCCCAATGCAACAAACATTGCAGTTCTTCCTGCAGTTTCTTCCATTTTCTCCCCGTCTAAGGTTTTTTTCTTCTTTTTTTGTTTGTGAGGGTTTCGGAACAGACGATGTTGTGTGTACAGGTTTAAAAGCCCTCTGAAGAATTAGTCATTTTAGGCTCAACAAAACAAATTCAACTGAATTATGTTGTTCATTCAGCTGACCTGCTTGCGTCGGAAGAGATCCTCCTCCTCCCTCCTTTTCTGGTCCTCCTGCTGCCTCCTCTTCTCCTCCCTCCTCTTGCGCTGCTCCTCCTCTTCACGCTTTGCCCTGAGTTCAGCCTCTCGCCTCTCCTGCTGGAGCTGGAGGGAGAACATCAGCAGTCAAATGAGAAAAAGGCACAGACTGAAATACGCAACAAGGACTGGAATCACATTTTGCATTGGACACGACCTAATTTCAATAGTTTTTGTGCCAGGTATAGCTTTCAGATCAAAGCTTTTTGACAATTAGTCATCTGCTTTGTTGTATCTCAATTAGATACAACAAAGCAGACGACTCTACGCGCAAAACAGTTTACTAGTCACATTAAAAAGAAAGCCATCAATTGTAGATGTGTACCGTTGCCTTGTACGACTGAACCCACCTTTTGAAGCTGTTCCAGAGTTGGACCCTGAGTAGAAGGATTCATTGTTATGTCCCAAAGACTGGCTTCACCGCCTACATAGAAAGCAAATTGGATTAATTAAGCATAAGTAGGAACGTGCATTGCGGTTCACAAGCAGGTGGCAGTCTGGGGCGTACCTGACGGCTGAGAAGCTGAGGTATGCATGTCCCACATGGACCCTGTATCTGGCACTGACATCGACCTGTTCATCGAAGGCATCATACCCTGCTCACTGCACCTGGACCAAACCAAACAAAGTTAAACACTGGACGTAAAGGGCAAATGATTAAAATACCTGTGGAGGTACTGAAACTAGGAAACCAAAAGTACATTACACCCCCACATTCCGACCTGTTAATGAGCTGGAATATCTGCTGCTGCTGGAGCTGCTGATAAAGAGCTGCTGCTGCCAGCTCCTTCTTCAGGCGGTCCTGGTCCAGGTTTCCCTGAGAAATTCAGAGACCAATCAATAAAACTCCAAAATACAGCTATGCATATAAAGTGTTAAAAAGACTAAGAGAGAATTGCTTGTGGAGACTTGTACATTAATTACAACCACAGGCGGTGCTTTACAAATTAGTCTGCGTGTCTGCAGAATGGAGAGCCATTACAAATGGGCCAAATAGGATGTGTTATATTACAGCATTAAATGCAGGTCTGGAGGCTGTGCTGCACCACTAATATGAAGTTTACATGCAAACAAGGATTTTATGCCAGACCACTGCGTAATATTGTTATATGACTGTGATTTGAATTTGCATATCCCCTTCCCACGGAAGAGGATATTAGCTGAAAAACAGTTAAAATGCCAAATCTTAAAAACCAAGCGTGAGCAATTTCACAAATCTCTCAAGTTAAACGGAATTTGAATGAGTCAATGATTTTTTTTACCGTAACCTGTCTATCAAGCTTCCCTCTCCTCTGCATCCTCCCCTCCCCATCCTCAGCGTTGGCTGAGCTCTGACTCACAGTCCCGGCGGACCCCCGGCTGGACTGCGGGCGCTGCGTCGGTGGGGGCTGTCTCACTAGCAGGGGCGGCGGGGAGGGTCCCGGGGCGAAGGGCACGCGGCCCCACATCTTGATGACGTCGCCCAGGGGCTGGAAGCCCTCGTCGCAGCCCCGCTTCACCAGCAGGGTCATGGTGAAGTAGCCGGCCTGGAACCACTCGCACATCTCCACGGTGGTGAACGGACCTGGTGGCGGGGGGGGGTGTTCCAGAGGCAGACTAGTGAGTTTACGTGCACCTGACTTTTTTCATTTCCGTCCATTCAGACGAAACCAATGTTAACGAATCAAAATGCCGTGTTAAGAGGGGCGGCAAATGCGGCGGTGTGCGAGTGTACCCTGGATCTCTCCCTGCGGGTCCTTGTAGAACCACTTCATGGCGGCCTCGTGCGACAGCGGCAGAGCGGCTGCGGTGTTCCTGCTCTCCTGCTGCTGCAGAGTCTGGGTGAAACACTCTTCCTCCAGAGAAGTGTCCTGCAGCGACGCCACCATCTTTTCCGCCTCCTGTGCAAGTGCACGCACACACACGCAAGTCATTACACCAAAACATAAATTGACCCTTTCAAAGATTAGATTGAACCCTGAGGCGGCATGTGTGGTTCCTACCTGCTGCAGGTGCTTCATGCCCTCATCGTCCTCCGTGTCTCCTCCGGGTGGAGGGTGGAGAGGAGCAGCAGAGGAAGGGGGTGGGGGAGGAAGGCTGGAGGAGGCGGGGGCGTCGAGGTTCATGTGGACCTTGGAGAAGCCGAAAGTAGCCATGTCTGACACACAAACAAAAAGGAGAGTTTAGCTATAGGGGGCGTAGGTGGGCTCCTGGCTCTTTATACAGAAGCAACAGCAGGTTCAGTAAACAAGATATTAAATGACTGGAGATAAACATATTGTGTATCAAACCAAAATATCAACGTGGCTGAATCTCCTTCCACACACCCACGAGGTCGGAGACTTAAAGAGCCAAAAGCTCTAAAGTTACATAGCCAGGACTCTCAACACTTCAGATCTGGAATAGCTACATGTTTGGATAGTGTTGGTCTGGAAGTCAACTCTTTAAAAACCTGTTGGTTGCTTCAGGGCTTCCAAAAAGAGTGAGTCTATTGGTCAGTCAATATGAGGTTCATGTAATCTTTTTCAATTTTTGGCTTTATTAAATCAATCCAAAAAAAAATCAAGATCTTGTAAGAAGTTTGACCTCAATAAAGACAGATGATACCGCAGCTGACTAAATACATCTTCATGGCGTTGCCGTAAGGCGTACCTTCATTGGACGTGCTGCTGGCCTTGACGGGGTGGCTGTTGTTCAGCGGAGGGTTTTCCACCACAGGGCCGGCGTTGCTGGGCCGAGGCTCCAGGGCGGGAGGGGAACAGTGTATGAGAGCGGGGGGAGACGACGAGGGAGACGTCTGCTGTGTCTCCCCTTCCCCACCAGCAGAGCCAGCTTCTTTACTCTCTGAGGTCGCAGAGGAGGAAAGAGAGTAAGATGCCACAATCATTAGGCGTGCGTTCATCCTGGGATGCAGAGCGCTCATCCACAGTGGTGCATTTCATCAACTATAATTAACATTTTTGTGTTTAACTCACTAAAACAACAGGTGGGCATTGAAGAGCCTAAATATTCCAAAATAAGTCGACAAATAGTGTCTTTCTTCACCCTTGTCTTTGTCTCCTTCAGCACTCTTCATGTCCATGTCAGCATAGCACTCCTCCTCTTCGTCCTCCTCGATGCCCTTGAACTCAAACTCCTCCTCCAGGATTGAATCCTTCCCACCCTTCTGACCCAAGAAGAGCGAGAGAAGTTGTAGAAATTAGAGGAAATAGAACAAATAGTGAAAAGGGCTGACTGTAAAATACAAGACGTTGCTGGCTTTTGAGACCGTTTTGCAAGTGTGAATATATTTTTTGAAACCAGGTGGTGAACGTAAAAAACAAAAAACCCACCTTCATAGTCATGAACGCTCCAGAGGAGTCAAACGTGCCCATCTCTCCATCCTCCTCGTCTGTGCACCACTCGGGCAGGCCGTCCCTGTCGTCCTCTAGTCCCTCGCTGCCCGCGCGCCGCCGGCCGCCGCTGCCGCCGTGGCCATCGGAGTCCCGGAAATCAAAATCAAACTTCCGACGACGACTCTCCCCCGGACCGGTGTGGTCCCGCCAGCCTGCTGAGCGAGGACCGCCATCTGACAAAAGACATGCGCCGCCATCAGTGTCAAACTGGACTGGAGTCACAAAAGAAAAACAAGGTACAGCATTAAAACCACATGGAAGTTACAGCAGTTGTCTCGATATGATGAATTCCACTTTCTGTGAAGTCTAAGCGTTTTGGAGAAAGGTCTCAAGGCCTTTTAACCTTTTAACATGTCTTTAACGTGCCCTGTTTCAGCTACAACCTGACCATGTCTTTTAGGAGTATATATTAAAAAAACATCAGCTTTCATCCTATGTATTTTTACACAACACACACACACAAGTAAGTGTGAATCAAGAGGTAACGCCTTGTGTTGTTACGGGGATGAATGGTCTCATCTGAGCGGTGTACCAAACCATTATCGAGCGCACAGTTCGGGCCCGTTTGTAGGAATCATGATTTATTCAACGTCCAATGTAAGATTGAGTTAAAAAAGGTCCAATGTTTCCCCAGCCACAACATCGCACGCGCGCGCGCGCACGCACACGCACACACACACACCATTTAAACCCGTCAGTTTAGCTTTCATTTGCAACACTAACAAGGCGGCACTCGAATAAATACGTGTCTGTGTTTCTCATACCATCCCTGCGGATTCCAGTAAGTCTCCAGTTTGTGCCCGGCTCTCCGCTGCTGACCACACCCCCAGCGACCCCCCCGCTGCCACCCCCGCCTTCCTCCTCCTCCTGCTCCTCCCGGAGGATGCGCCAGTTGTCGCTGTCCGCCCGCGTGTACTCCTTCCTCCCCGGAACCACGGGAGCGACGGGCTCTTCGAAGCCAGGACGCCCCACCTCCCGCCGCAGCGGCTTCTCGAACCGCCGTTCGCCCCTGAGGAGGAGAGGGGAAATTCAGACGGATCAGTCAAGTCACCAAGACGTGAAGAGAAATATTTCAGGCCGAAACTTGCAGCACATCACCACCGATACCGATTTGTCCACTTTAACTGGCCACATTAGGGAAAAACAGGTGAAGATAGTCGAAGCAAATACAAATTCCAAACAAGATAATTGAGTCTACGGCACGGATGAAGGCTTCGGTCACCGGTTAAGACAACTGCCATTAATATGCCGAGAACATGCAGCCATGAATTATTTGACCATTAATGGTGCGTGCCGGCTTTCTTACCGGTCATCCCAGCTCTGGCTACGGTGGATCTCTCGGACGCTGCGTCCGAAACCCACCTCGGGTTCTTCAATACTTCTTTGGTAGAATCCACTTTCTCCACGGCCTCGTCCTGATTATACACACACACACACACACACACACACACACACACACACACACACACAGGTGTTTATATTTCACATCAGCATCATCTGAACCGAGAACTTGTAATTAGAGTCAGAATGTGCTCGCTTGTCATTTTCCATTTTGAATGAACACCGATGAAAAAGTTGCAAAGGTGCAGACTGAAACAAACACCAGCACATGCACACAAACTGCGAAAAACCCAACAGCTGTTTCCTAGGCCTTCCTGAAGCGGACGGCTGGTGTTTACGTTGGCCCTTGGTGTTCGTGCACAAGGGGAGTTCATAAGCCCAGCCGTTTTGAGACACGTGTGTCTGGACAAACGGACGACTATGCAGACAGGCCAAGAGAAGTGTGCTGTATCAAGACGGTGGAAGAAAAGGAGGAAATAAACACTTCAGTGGTTGGCTTGAATAAACCGTTACTTTGAATGGATAACAGCCATTGGAGTTCCAGCCAAAGCTTTTGGGCAGCATTTGTGTTGCTGTTGGACTCGAGTGAGTTTCAGCATAAGTGCTTGTGGATTTATCATTAGTGTACTTAGGCCCAATCAATGCTGTTCCATATTTCTTGCAGTTTCTCTTCTAATGGGTGTTGGAGGTGGAGAGGGGGGGGAAGGGGGTTGCCATTAGTTTTTACCTCGACCGCCTCTCGGGGCACCTCGTCCTCGCGCCACTCCAGCTGGGGCGGGCGCGCCGACCCCTTTTCCCATGAGCCTCAGCACAGCCACGCTGTTCACAGACATGGAGAAGTTCCTCTGCAGAGAGAACGGAAAGAGGGAAAAGGGGATGAATGTGAGGAATGCGAGCTCACAGCCATATTCGTTAATCAGCAGAACAGCTCGCTCCACGATCGAAGTCGGGAGTGCTGTGACGGAGCACGCGGCGAGCTCAGAGCGCTCAGCGTTTGCTGGCGTCACTGTGCGTTTGTGACCCACCTGCTCCTCCTCAGTGAGTGCCACCAGTGCCAGTGGCTGCATGGGCTCATCTTGCAGAATAGCAGCAAACTCCTTATCCTGCATGTCCTCTGGGACCTAAAATAACCACACAACAGGCACTTTGATGATCTTCATAACATTTTCTTCCCCCCACGACTTCTGAACGCAACGGACCTCCAAACAGCTCTTCAATTTGAATGACGGGGAAGTCAGTGGAGGTTTAAAAGCAGCAGACATTAAAGTGTATTATTCGCCTGTAGACCCGAGTTTGCCACGAACCTTGTTGTCTTTGATATAAAGTGCTAACATCTCCTCTCGGCCGTAGCGGTACTCGGCCAGCTTGTACTTTGGCATGGCGGGGGAAGGAGGAGGGGAAGTCACACTCCCCCCACTGGACAGTGCACGGAGCCTGCGTGAGGAAGAAGGAAGGAAGGAAGATGTCTCATAAATAAAAAGGGTGTAAATTCTTCTGTTGGCACAGAATACAAACAAATGGAAGAGAGAGTGTAAGCAGGATTAAATTCCAGTCATCTTGCAGCAGGGAAAAGGATATTTGGCAAATGTGTTGCAACTATTGCAGGTCACTCTGAGTAAGCTTGGATCAACACAGATGACATATTAGCTTTCCAATCTCAAGATTTCATTAAAAAAAAACCTTTTACCAGCAGCCCCAGTTTCCAAGACCTGCTGTTGTAACAATGGCCCCATTGATGTGCCTCGACAAACCAGGTCATTGACTCACAGACCCACATCAAAACCACATGGAAACTCTCAAGAGATGTGGAGGGAGGGGGGGGGGGGGGTAAGAGGTAAAGGAAGGCATCATAAAAGACCAGTCGATGGCATGTGGCATATCAAAGAGGGTAAAAATAAGTGGTGCAGCGACTGATGTGAATACTAAAAGGGGCACTGAGGAGGAGATATCAAAGAATACGTTTCTGCTTCCTCCCCAACACAACATGAAATCTAACCGGATCTTCCTCATTTAAATCTACACATTCACGATGCTTTGCGCTCGTCCGGAGCAAAGGTTGGCCTATAAAAGTTACACCAATCCAAATGCACAGCAGAACGACTCCACTGCCAACGAAACCTTAAACGGTGTAAATCACTCTGCAACGCCAGCAGGTATTACAAGGCTTGCTGCCAGACGGCCACCTACATTTTGACCTTATTTAAAAAACACGCTTTCCCAAAAAGTTGGTGGATGGGGAAACCCATCCACCAACGGCATGTGACACAATGCCGTTACATTTACAACTCCTGAGTACCATGATGCCGCCATGTGGAGAGTTGTAGTGATTTGTTAGACAGACACACATTTTATTTCATCACCGGGGAAGAAATTCCCAAAAACATTTCACACTGAAGGCAGTGATGTCGCGTGAAATGATCATTTTCATCATGAATTTATCAGCCCATTATTCACTTGCTTAACGACAGCGTTTGCAAAACGTCAGCGCGACTTTGTAAAACGTACATTTTACACAAGATTAAGAAGCATTAAGGCAAGTTCACAGTGAGGCGAGCCAGTCATAACACACATGAAACCTCGTGGAATCTATTAACGTGTTCAGTACAACTTCCAAAAATGTGTTAAAATAATGTTGAGGAATCAGATCAGTTACCATTCTGGGCCGAAGTTAAGAGTCTCAGCAGTCATATTCCTCCCGTCTGCACAGAACTGAGTATCTGAAAGAAACACACAATAAAATGTTAGTTCCTGTCAAAAAACAAACAAAACACAACTCTCGAGGAAATGTTCAAACAGCGGAGCGCGTGTGCCCCTGTAGGCCTTACCCTGTCCAGATGATCGGAGCAGGCTGGACTGGGCTGGACCAGGCTAGGGCTGGCTGGCTGGCTGGCTTTAGTTAGGCTTAGGTGACTAGAAGGCTAAGTGGTGCTTAAGCTGTGGTCACAGAGCTCCCCAAACACACAGACACAAAGAGAATAGCTGCCAGTTTCAGGTGCTTGAGGAATACCAGGTTATCAGGCGAGATAAGGAAGGGGGTTCGGCTATAGTTTGGAGAATGGAAGCTCCTGCTACTCACAGCCGAAAAGGGTTGATGAACATAAAAAAAAAACGAAACAAAAATGAACCTTGGAAACTAACAGTGGAACAAAATAAAACACTCTTGCTAGTAATATTTTCTTCTCGTTATTTTTTTTTTCTTCCTTTTTTTAGTTTTTTTTTTTTTTTTTTTTTTACAGCAGTTATATCTCACGTTAAAGTTAAAAATATCAATAGATTCATCAAAAAAAGTAACGCCAGAACAAAATAACAGCCAAAACACTGAATCGGGCTGCTGGAACAGCTGCCAAGAGCAGACGTGACTCGCACTCCTCCTCTCTTCTCTCCCTCTCTCCCTCCGTGGCCTTTCTCTCACTCCAACTGAAATGTGGATTGACGGAGACCCTCCAGGTAACTCCTTTATTTTCTGTCCTCCTCCCTTTGCACCACTGAAATAAAGCAGAGTTGGAGAGAGCAGATCAGAGAAATGGAATCATAAAACATAAAAAAAAGACAGATGTAAAGGAATACGGTTAAAGCGGAATGAATGAGCTGTTGGCAAGATGCATTTCCCCAGCTTGGCAGTCCGCCTTTATTGTAAAAGGAAAACAAGTGTGAGGGGATTTTCCACCGTGTTGCCTGGACACAAGTGTTTTCACAGCGCGCCCTGGACTAGCTGAAAGGTACCGGTGCAATCCAATCGATTTATCCGACACAGCACACTGAGACAGGAGGAATAAAAAAAAAAAAACACTGGTATGCCCTCACGGAATAAATGAAACGAGTAAACTATTTCTAGAGCAGCGCTCGATTATAGCCCAACAATTCTGCTGCTAACAGGGCATTTTTCCACCCAGAAAAACAGAGTATATTTCAGGAATGTCGTAAAGCAGCAACCGGTTTTGGAATAGTTCCTGAAAATGACGTCCAGGAAAGCGAATTTCAACTGCTGTACGTCACGGACACATACCTGGCATCCCCTCATCTAAACATTTACATCTTCCTGGCGATAGTATTTACGGCATATCACTTTAAGAAGGGTTTACAGTAACCGACGTCCAACTCGGGGCTGGCAGAATGAAAATGTCCCGGTCTTGCTGTTAGTTATTCACAGCGTTTTACGTTAGCAGATGTGGTCATTTTAAGCCCAGACATTATTCCCCAATTGTTTTTGTTTTTTTTACCAGCACAACGTTCACGTTGGCCATCACATTGCAGATGCACGGAGCCCTGCTGTCTAACATCCAACAGAACAGCCGATCTCCACAAGTTGAGTTCAAGATGTGCCGTCAGATGCAGTGACATAGATATCAGGTTTCCCAAGCACCGTCTAGCATGCATCTATGCTGCTGGGCTTTGCAGGCTAATCTAAGAGGAAGAGCAGTTATAAATGTGTTTTAATTAAAAGTGCCTTTTACCAAGCAAGATGTTGATACTGTAGTAGCATGAACGAACTTTAAGAAAATGGTCTGGAACCATAAATGAATCGGAAACCAGTCTAAATGTAATCAAACATGAAACAAACAGAATATGTTTAAATTATCAGACTCAATTAAAAAATGAAACTCAATTTACAGAATACATGCCAGTGCCACTTCAAACCAAACTACTTCAAATGTCTAATGCAGAGTGCTTCCGTGCTATCCGAGTGCGTAATTCAAACGATGTAGAAGAAGGCCCTTTTCATTAATCTGATGTTTCAAGCAAACTGAAAGTTGCCAATCACTATGAAAGACATTCAAGTCCTGCGTCCAATAAACTAGGATTACTAAAAATGCACTCATCAAACATACAGCAAATGTGACAAATGAATGTACATGAAACCATCGCACGTTACAAGCACACTATTACGGGTCAGCTGTGAGCGCTAAAAAGAAGTTCTACACAAAAAGCTACCAACACTTGCGTATCACTGCAGAGATACGCACGCAAAAAAATAATCCCTGATTTATGGTTGGACGTGAAAACCAAACCTACTTTTAAAGATTATCAAAGAAGTGGATACCAGCAGGTTTTGGGGATGTGCAGGCATTACCGAAAAGTGAAACTTTTCAAGGAGACAGTTGATGGAATGAAATAATCACAGGGCGAAGACCTGAACATTTGCTTCATGTGAACTATTTTCTAGTACTCTTATGACGTTAAACAGTTTTCGGCACCTTCTACTTTTCTAATATTCAAATGTAAACTTTTTACGCAGTCTGCACCCCCCTTGAAAAGTGACACAAGCGTTTGTTAGAAATGTACCACTCGTTGTCTGTAAGTTACTTATATTTTGCCAGTGCAGTAAATTGAATCGAATTATTTAAAAATCCAATTTGATTTTTGAAAGTTATTGTTCATTAAGCTAGCAGTCTTTTCATGTTAGCATAGGTCTCCTACAACTTATTTTGCTACACTGCACTATTAGAATCAAGTATAACTTGATGGAAGGAGTGACATTAGGAAGGGAGGCTTCAACTTCCACCAGACAGCTGTGTGGCTGTATATCATACATCAATACATCATACATCAATACATCATAGATCGATACATTGCATTGAATACATTTGCTGGAGAGGAAGTTGGGTGCTAATATAGTTAAAATATGTCATACTGTTAAACGTTCAAACTAGAACTGTCATTGAAGCACAAAGCCTCAAATGTGATTGAATTATTTAAATTATTATTACCATTTCTGGTTGCCACAACTGTTTGATAAACGTCTTTAGGCTACAGATGCAAAATGCCGTCTTTGATGCTGGTAATCATCCCGTATAAAGGGAACGTCTGGTCATTTAGTGAGCATTGAGAGACCTATAGGCCATTATTTGAAAAGGAACACAATAAAAATTGCGTGTACGTGTGTAAACCGCCCGCGCTTAGTAAAAGCTCCTTAGCATTTCACAACTTTACTCCACAACAACAAAAACAACAACAACAGGCCGATGTGTAGGGAAGTTCAAACTTTGTACCGAGGAAAATCAAGCAAGGTCACGCAAACATAACGTCGGCTGCAGAACACGACATTCCTTCTACATTTGAAACTTAGCAGTTGTTGTGATCTTAAAAATGTTGGCGGGACAACGACTTTAAACAAGAAAGCCGCCCGGAAAGCGTCACTAAAGACGATAGATGATGGATGGCGGCGGAAAAAAAGTAACTTAGACGAAGTTAAAGATGCTCAGTAGTTTCGTCGTAAAGATGGCTAACGTATTGACAAAATCGCTCGGGTTGACATTAGCCACCGTCAGTATTTGCGAGCTACATTAGCGAACATCGTTACAATGTTGCACTTTAAACCGCGTCGCTGCGCATCTTGCGCGGGGGCAAAAGAACGTACGTCGACCGATGCGTCGGAATTAGCGACCCACGATATCACATTTGTGTTGCATAACAGATAAAGATTAGCTCGCTAGCAGCCTAGCCTAGCACAAGGTATGCGTTGATCGTAAAGGCCTCTAGGTTCAAATGACACCAGATATGATGGCGGAGGGGGGCGGAGTGTTGCAAGCAGACTCCCCGGCCTTCTCCGCCAATGTGCGGACGACCACTTCCACTCTGCGGTGTAAAGCTTAGGCTAATGTGATGTAAACAAAACGAAACACAACAGCAGGAACAACAACGTCTCGGCCTTAAAAGTACGTGAAGCCAATAAACACAGAGGCGTCAAAACCACTCGCGCTGCTATAGCCGAGGTTAGCGCGTTAGCTCGCGTTAGCTAGCTAGCTAGCAAAAAGACAAGCTGCAAAGAGGAACCATGGCTTACCTTCGCTGTTTAAAGCTAACGTTACCAGACTGGTTGTCTGCACGGTGTGTCTACAGCCAATATATCGTATGCATTGGTCTCTCCAAACACTGTAAACGTATTCATTCGACAGAACCGTACTTTCAGAAAGTCGTGCTCTGTATTTTATTTTTTATTTTTTTCCCCCTCTCCTCCAACGGTCGCTGCTGCGTATCAGTATGTGTCTGCTGGCTCCTGGTCGCTGCTCTTCTTGTTGTTTGTGTTTCGGAAACATGGCCGTCCGTGTGTCACCACGTGACTGGACATTGACAAGAGGCGAACCAATGTCGTAGCAGCACAAACACACCCCTGTTTAACAGCCCGGGCGACCTCGACAAGCCACTTTACAACGGTAATTTTTCCTCCAAAATACAGCGCATTTAACGACTGCGTTGAATCAGCCAGTAGGCTGCTCAGCGAGGCCAACTTTAGCAAAGGATTGTGTTTTTAGGCATAAAAGAAATAAGCAGCCAGTTCGATTCGCACTCGCAAGGCAGCAGCGCGCAGTCACAAAATAACGATGTATAATTCGATAGGTTCAGTAATTAGTTATCAATACCCTTAAAAGTGAACTGAATGAATAGCAAAGTATTTTTAGCCACAATATGCGGGACTGTGTGGGGGGCAGGTTGAGCCAGCAGAGGGCGCTGTTGAACAGTGGCGCTTTGCGAATGAACGCTGGCCGATTGGGGATGTGTTCATCACACTATGGTGATTAAAAGATACCGTAAACATGCACTAAGGCTCAATTCAATCCAGGAATACATTCTATGCGCTATCCACAGGGGTTTGCAAAAGAACGAGAAAACTATTTTGAACTTGAATGCCAATATGTACGTACAAATGTACATATTGAACATATTGTTCAGTGGGTGTGTCACCTGCAGGTGTTCAAATTGGAACTAATCAAATGTATATTAAAACTGTAAATGTTGGAACCTGAGCTAACTACCTTAGCATAAGCAACCAAGAGGAGTGGCAGTGTGACACATATAGATGAGATTATTTAATTAGAAATATTATTATTACTAATCCTAATGGGAAAGGCTGCAGTGTTATAAAGCATTATGTATCATGTCGGTGTGGATTCATGAGATATACTAGAACATATACACAACCGGACAGAGGCCTGTGCAGGGATGCATGGCTGCACACGCATGCATTGTGGCCGCAGATGAGTCAACCGTCCAGCCAATAGATTCACCGTAAGCTGCTGCAACTTTGCATACAGAGCATCTGCCCAACTGCCATTACATTTTACCCGATTATGACGCAACAGCAGCGCTCGATTACATATGAACCAGACCATTCACCCACATGACATGGAATTTCTTCACCCACAGAGGTGTGCGACGGGACATGTCGCCCACACAATTGTGGCATTATTTACTGCGGTTGTCTGACGATGCATTTGTTATGCACCAGCTTCCTCTCCTTCTCCCTGCTGGCGGCGTCCACCCTGGTGAGTGCTAGTGTGTTGGACAGCTTCAAAGACTGCAGCCATTTCTTCTACATGCACACACCCCCTGCAGGGATGAGGGGGTCCGACCTGAGGATGGTCTGCCAGAAGTACGCAGACAAACTGCGCTACGCCACGTTGTATGACAGCAGTCGCCGCCTCCCCCTCTACTCAGCTTACATCTTTCAGAAGTCTGACGGGACGAGGAGGGTGGACACACCGTGGATGTACGAGCCACAGGTAGATGCTGATGTGTTAGTTTACGACGGAAAAGAGGATAAACTGTAGTTTGTATTTCACTCAAGCTGTTTCTAGGTTAAAGATCAGTTGCCCAGCTAAGGTGAGACAATTTGGTAAAGAACGCCAATGACTGCATGGGGATAATGCCGGACAAACAAGGAGCAATTGCCACTTGTCAATCACCCAAACATACTTTAAAGGGAGGAATATTTAGAGAAAGTTGATTAAAATTCCTTTATTTTTTTGGCAGAGAGTTGAACAAGAGGATGAATCTCTATGTGAATATGTAGGTGGAGGTGCAGCTGGTTGGTTTAGCTTTGCACAAAGACAGCTGGCCTACGCGTACATACCTGACACAGTGACACACTAAGAAAACATGAGATTCTCTCATCTTGGCAAGAAACTTGATAATCTCATGGCTCAAAACTGCTGTTTTTGTCACTATTATGATAAATAGATTTGTGGAAGAAGTTGAATTATTTTGAGTGTAATCATATTTCTGTCAGATTATATTAGTGCTGTAGTGCTGCAATCTTGAAGGTCTTGACGTAAGTCACTTGCATCCATTTCCTTTTCCCTGCAGTTGGTTTCAAACGATGAGAGTGGAAGCATGAGAGCACTTCCCCTCACCGAAGACACCCCCCCTCTGATTGAGGACAGCCAGGCCGTGTTGGAGGACTACACAGACGCCGTAGAATACAAACGCGCCCCGCTGAACCCTGACCAGCACCAATCAGAGCCCGATGACAAATCCTCCACATATACTCTGACAAACGTCGTCCCCTTAATCACACACTTCCTGGACACTTCCTGGAATCCATACTTGAACATCATCCGCCGGCGCCTCAACAACTTCTGCCACGGGAAATCTTTCATGGTGACGGGGGTCACCGTTTCTGGGGGGAGCCTCCAACGAGATAACAGGGACCGCCTGGCGATCCCAAAACACATATGGCTGGCTTACTGCTGCCCGCTGTTCGACCACAACTCTCCTTACGAGGTGAGGTTCATGTTCCCTAGTTACGGGGGCTACGCACTCAACGGACGGACTGACCACAGTGTGGTGGAAGTCCCTCTGAAGACTCTGGAGAGCTTCCTGAAGAGCCAGTCACACGGAGACAGTGACCTGAGTATTTTCTACCGGGGTTGTGTGTCAGAAAACACCTTCAGGAAGAAGAGAGAGCTGACCGGTGCGAACAGGACTGACTCAGATAAACTGTAAGAGAGGCGGGGTTGAAGGTGCAGAATTCTTTATCTGTTGGCTTTAGATTCAGATCGTCTTAGTGCTTATGGACCAGGGTGCAGTTGACTAACTAGCATCAATAAAGCACATTGTCTGTAAATGGCCATTACAAAGTGCACACTATACCACACCGTCATTAGGTAGATTTCAAAGAAAAAGAAAAATTAAAAATGAAAGACTCAAGTGTCAAGAATTGACTGTTAAATATTAACCAATCACCAGATACTCTACATCTTGCATTTTCAATCATGCAGCTCCAACACACGTTCCACCACACGTTGAATATCTATAACACAAGTGAGGTGAGTTAGTAGCGTGTTGGAAAAGGGTTGCTAAACAAGCGCAAGAGCCAAAACATACATGTTATAAATCATATGGTGGTTTGAACACAAGTACCTCTGACATTCTGTACGTCTTGTCGGGATCTCCGATCCCCCCGAGTTGGTTGATGAGAAGGGTCGCAACACCTTGATCAATTAAAGTCAAAAAGTTAACATTTATTTAGAAGAGAAAAAGATTACATGAGCAATTCTCGGCAGATATATCTGGCTTTAACTATTGCTTGCAAGCAGGAGGTCGAATACACCAGCACGTATTACAGTGCTCTGCGTAAATGGCGTCTCAGAGCAGTAACAATGCTGAGTTTTTATACACACACAACAAGGTCATCCTCAGTGGCAGGTGCAAATTATAATTAATAGACAAAAAGTAGAAACGCGGATATGAAAACTTTCATACCAAATGAGATATGAACGAAGGCCTTGAACAGAATTCCCTTTGATGGAGCGTCTATGAGATCGAGTTGACCGTCCTCCCTTCTCGGGACACAGCTGCCAATTCAAAGTTTTGTACCATCCTGCTCTTTGCACGTCAGGGTCAAATACAGACACTTGAGACACGGGTTTAGCACAAGACAATGTTATAACATATTTGACCATTACATGCATCTCACAGTCTCCAACAGAACCAACCGTGAATGATGGAAGAAACCATCTCTTCTGGCCTTCAGCACACCTTCATTTATCACACATGAGGGTTTAGAAAATATGTTGGATTTGTGAATGTATTGTTCTGATTATTTACTGTGGATGTGTTTCTTTGCTTAAATTGTATATATTAATTACTGACAATGTTTGAGGTGAAAAACAAGTCTGTAAAAAATAAAAATAAAAAAATAAATACAGCTGCAAATGTGTTGTGTGGTTCAAAGTGCACTGCCTATGGCTATCTAGTGTTCCCTACTAAATGTCATGCCACTTATCCCGTATCTTGTTGTGAAATTCTCCTGTACTTGCCTTTTTATAAACATGTGATCTTTGTCAAATAATGTTACAATGATTCATTTCCACCCGAGATTCATTTGAAACGTGTAATCCCTAAACTTCTCTATTAGCGCGCCACAGAGACGAGAACCTTTGGTTCAAACCCCTCATAAACAATTCAACAGCTACAAAAAGGGCCAGCTGAACCTGGACGGCGGACCCCCTCCCAGGACGCTCGCTCCCAACTCACTCTAGGCCGCCCTTTGCCAATGCACGCTAATTTCCCACAGTTCACTAACATCCGCCAAGGCACCACTCAAGTCAACTGAAGAACAAGTTGCACCGGCTGTACTGCAACATACGTTGTCCTTATTTGAGATGTAATTCTGCGTATTAGAGTAGTCAAACGCCGGAGTCTCCCTTGTGGGCCGAGTGCAGCCGTTCCTCTGGCTCTGGGTAGATCTGCTGAGGTGTGGAAGTGCACTGCTTTGCATGCTGAGTCCTGATTACAGACGGTGGCAAAGCTTTCTCTTTTGAGCTGCGCGGAAAAGTCAGTGAGACACATTCAACCCTTCGTGGCAGCTCACTGAAACACACCCAACCTGGATTTGACAGCGGTCACTCGCTCGAAAGCCCTCCTGACCATGGGATTGTGGGCTCGGACCTTCACGCTCGTCTGCTTGATAACGTCATCGGTGAAGGGGAGAGTGGAAAAGGAGCCGCCTCCCGAGTGCAGAGAATTCCTCTACCTGAGAACGCCGCCGACCGGGCTGGAGCACAGCTCCCTGCAGTTCATCTGCCAGCATTACAACAAGAAGCCCCGCTACATGACGCTGTTCAACACCGTGGACCACATACCCGTGTACTCTGCGTACACCTTCAAACGCTCCGACGGGGAGAAATGCGTGGACGTGCCGTGGATGTATGAACCGCAGGTAAGGAAGACTGAAATGTTGAATCCAATGTGCTAAAAAACTTTAAAAGGTTTGAATATGAACACCATCTTATCGTTTTACATAAACTCGACCACGTTCTACTGTGCTGTCCTCCTCATGTCCCTGGCGCTGTCCCTGTGTGTCCCACACAGCTGTCCACAGCCTCTGACACAGAGGAGATGCAGCCCTTCCCGCTCGGTTACAGTCACATGAATTTTGAAGACGCCCAAGCTGTTCTGGACGACTACACAAACGCCATCCTTTACGAGCGCGGCACCCTCAACCCGGACGTGCATCAGGACGACCCCGACGACAAGGCCTCCACCTACACGCTCACCAACGTGGTGCCCATGGTGCCCGACGTCAACAACCGGGTGTGGAACAAACAGGAGCACGTCATCCGCCAACGGCTCAACAACTACTGCCACGGGACGGCTTACGTCGTCACGGGCATCACCACCTCGGGCAAGACGATCCGCCGGGAAAACGTGAACCGCGTAGCTGTCCCGGCCTACTTGTGGTCCGCCTATTGCTGTGTGGACTACGACCACAACGCGCCCTATGACGAGCGCTACAAGTTCCCATCTTTTGCTCACTACGGCCTGAACGAGGGGGAGAAGAACGAGGTGGTGGAAGTCTCCGTCGAGAAGCTGAAGGAGTTCCTCAAGAAGACCACCTTCGTAGACCAGAGCTTTCAGATCTTTGTGGGGGACTGCGTCCCACCAGGGTCTAGATGAAACTAATTAGCGTGAATAATGGTTGTGCTCATGTGTCCCAGTAAGCGATGACAGTGACAGACAGGTAGCCAGCATGCAAAGTACCAGGATGTAGAAGCAGCTAAATGGTATTGATTCTATTGTTCACACCTGGACTTTTTCTGCTGTGAAATAACTTCTCCAGCCTAATGTAGGAGCTCAACATGGAATTAATTTCATTACTAAAAATACAAACACAGAGGCTGAGTTCCTTAGGGGTGCTAAGAAAAGGGAAAATGCATCAAAGATCCAGCTACTTTGTCTAATTTGTGTGAATAAACCATTGTGAACTATAATCAAACCGTCTCTGCAGCTGTTTTCAATCACATTCAAAATGTGATACTACATAATATATAAATATAAATATATATATATATATATATATATATATATATACACAATATGCTTGTATTTTCTTTCTATACATTTACAAATTGAAATTAATAAAATATATAAGAATAGTGTAAAATTTAAATATATATATATACTGATCACCAGCATTATAGCTGCACCAACACCTTTTAAAGCATCAGTGCTTTTGTAGTCGCCTCGAACTTTCGAACATTGACTAAATCTTTGGAATGAACAGATGATTTAGATTTGTGTAAATAAACTACAATCTATAGCTGGAGGATCAGATGTCCTTCTTCTGTCTCGCACACGGATTCACATCGAAATGTGTAGTTTTTTGTTCACTGCTCATCTCACATACTGCTGGAAACCGCACACACATTTTGGGGCTCAATAAGAGCTGCCCCGACCTCTCGTGGTTGCAGCGATTCAAACCCTCTCAAAACACCTTTTATTGTCACTGACTGCCTGTTGACTCCTCAGTAATGTCTATTAAGCGCCCCCCCCCCCCTCCCACCCCCCTCCGCCGCCAGCAGGGGCCACAAGTCATCTGCATAGCTTACAATGAAAGGACATCTGCTGTGTGAAACGTGAAACACATCTAAAATGTCACTGCGCCAGAACAAAGTCGGCGTCCTTCTTTTCCCCCGGTGTTCGCAGCAATAAACTTCTCTCCATGATTGATAACATTCAAGGCGTTTGAATTACTCGTGTAGCTTTGAATATATGCAAAGGCCTCTACAATGGGAGGCCAGTTTGCTGGAAGTACAGATGAAGCAAGAAGTTTGCAGGGCTGTCGTAGAGGTTGTACTTGTCGGGCCACGGTGGGTTCGCAGCGTCGTCGAGGTCTAAAAGGACAGAACGTGTGAGGGAAGGAGAGCGCCATGATGATACCCGCAGCAGGAAACCGGGTCTCTCCCGTGGCGGCTGTCGTGGCCGCGCTGACCTGCGCGTTGCTCCAGGGGGCTCGGGCAGGAGTGGTGGAGGACTTCAATCATCAGGAGCGCTGTAAGGACTTCCTCTACATGGGCACCCCACCCAGAGGCTACCTCGGCAACTCCTTCACCAAGATCTGCCAGAGGTACGAGGAGAAACCCCGCTACGTCACGGTGTACGACCCCCGCAAACACATCCCCGTCTATTCTGCCTACACGTTCAAGAAGTCAGACGGGGAGAAGAAGGTGGACTTCCCGTGGATGTTTGAGCCCCAGGTGAGTGTTCTTCCAACTCCAAGTCCGAATGACAGTCAACTAAAAGACTTTTTTCAGTCAGAGTTTCAATTCAAGTCCATTGTTGGTTGTTTTTGCAATGTATACTATAGTATATTTATATAGTTACATGTTTACATTGATCGATGCTCTAATGTCTAAGAAACAAAAACCAAATATTTCATGTATTTAATACCTGACAAGTAGTTTAGACAGCTCTGGCTACTATATTACTGTTGCTATTGGCAACTAGCAAGCTTGACATAAGCTGCTTTACTGACTGTGAATAGCATATCAACGAGATAGTGTAGCCGTGACCATTTATGGTGCCTTTTCAATCGTATCACTTGCCAATCTTTATTGTGAATGTAGCACATGTATTTAGACTCTAAGAAGTCTATCACTTACAAATCAACTATTAGTTTCAGCTCTAACTTACAGAAGTGATAAAAACAGTAAAGGAAATTCCTGCAATATTGTGCCTCTCCTTGTCACGCCGTCCCCAGCTGGCCTCAGAGAAGAGCACCAGCAACATGCAGCCCTTCCCCCAGTCCTCCGGCATGCACATGAACTTCGAGGACACGCAGGCCGTCCTGGAGGACTACGCTGACGTGGTGCAGTACGAACGTGGCCAGCTGAATCCCGACGAGCACCAGAGCGACCCTCTGGACAAAGCCTCCACCTACAGCTTGACAAACGTGGTGCCCCAGATCAGGGAGTTCAACCTGGGCCCCTGGTCGGAACACCAGGACCTCGTCCGCAAGCGGCTCAACAACTACTGCCGCGGCAAAGCCTTCGTGGTCACCGGGGTCACCACCTCCGGCCACACCATCCGCCGCAACAACCTGGACAGGGTGGCTGTGCCGGAGTACATGTGGTCGGCCTACTGCTGCACCGAGTTCGACCAAAACGCACCGTACTTTGTGCGCTACAAGTTCCCCGTGTTTGCAGCTTACGGGCTGAACGATCGCGTCAACAACCACATGGTGGAAGTTCCTCTCAAGAACCTGGAGAAGTTTCTCAAGGGGAGGATGGATGTGGATAAGAACTTCCAGATTTTCTACAGCGACTGTGTACCAGATAATTGAGATGAAGTGATCTTTGCTTGAAGTGTGTTAGAAAGTTTCTATAAACTGATAATATACATTGTACACAATAAAATGGCCAATTGATTGCAGTCGGCCTCATTGTCTGAATGTCTATGTAAGAATTATTTTCATTTAGATTTTGGTTTATTATTCTCGACAGGTCTAAACGTCAAAAAGTTGACTATCATCGAACAAAAACTAATCGTTATGTTTGACAGACTGGAATGACACAATCAAAGCATATTCAATTGAAAACTGACTTTGTTTGTCAAAAGTCCAATAAAAGGCAAACCAAAACCCAAAAACTAATTTGCAAATTTACAGATGGACACTTTAATACATACAAAATGAATACAAACCACATAATATACAAGTTAAATATATACACAGCACCAGTCAAAAGTTGAGACATTTTTTGAATTGAGTGAGAAAATGTGTCTGACTGGTGTGTTTTTCCACTTCCTATAGACTGCATGCGCTTAGAGGGCTAAAGGGAGATATTACTGAATCTGTCGTCCGACCATATATATATATATAAATATCATCATCAATCAATATATTCTTCATATACGTTGTAGCTATTGATTTCATCCACAGGATGCCATTCCCTTACATTACAAAGTCTGTCCCAACAACTCCGTCGCTCGTCCTCACGATGGACCGTCAGATCGCAGGGGACAGAAAGGTTTGCCGGCAGTCTGAGGCAAACACAGGTTATAAAACGAGGACGGGTGCAGGGAGGACACGCTTCTCCACGCCACCCACCCGCGCTTCTGCAGCTCGCCCTTCTCCAGCGGACCTCCGTAGTAGTGCGGGTCCGCGACGAGCAGCCAGCTCCCGTTGTCCCCGGTGCACACCCCCAGTATCCCCTTAGAAGAATTGTCCCTGTCCCCGCCCATCATGGCGGGGGAGCCGTGCTCCTCGAAGTGCCGGTGGAGCTCCTCCGCGGCGACTTGCTCCAGCTCTGCCTCCCCACCTCGGACGTGCACCACTTTGCAGGGCACGCCGTAGTAACAGTCGAGGATCAGGGCGGCTTCGACCGTTCCGATCCACTCCCTGGAGCCCGAGAACGAGGCCGGTTTGTCCCCCACGGTCACCAGGGCGCGCTGCATGTCCCCGATGCGCGGACAGCTGCTGCTGCGGCACAGCCAGGAAGCCATCGTCTGCACGGTGCGGTAGCCGCAGCCCCAGCCCCTGTCGTCCTGCCCATCGCAGCCGTAATGGAAGTAGAAGTAGTCTCCTTTTATCAGAGAACATCTCACGGGGCCCGTGGACGGGTTGGGGAGACCGGCGTGGACGTTGCTGGATGGGGTTTCGGTCGCGGTTACAATCGTGCCGTCCTCCGCTCTGCTTCCTCCCCAGTCGATCCTCTCAGATGCCGCGACCACAACGTTGTTGTCCATTTGTCGTATTTGGCATGTCACATACAGCGCTTGATATTCAATATTCCCTACAGAATATGTAATATGAAATACTTAGCCGGATATTATTTGGTGCAACTGCGATGCCCGTCCCTCCGCCGCACTTGCAAGAACACTCGTTCCGCAGCTATATTATTGTTCCCACTGACGGTGATGCCTTCAGGGGCTTTTCGTCGGCTTCGTTTCGTTCTCGCTGATGTAACCATAACGTGAAGATCAGATTAATAGTTAACTTACCCTCACCACAAAAAAACGACGCGAACAGCTGTTGGCTCAGGACGCAAAGTGGCCGAAAGCTGCACTAATAAGCTTGTTCTCAGTAATAGGAATAGTGAGTTGTGATTTCAAAGTACAGTCAACAAAATCATTTTATAAAAGCATTATGAAGAAATATGTCCTCATCTCATATTTTTGGTTAAGCAAAGTCAATGCTATTTATTTGTTGGGTGTTTAATACTTTGAACTGTGCACACAAATTGATTTCACTATGATCCATGAAGCACTATGGGTTTTTTCTTTCGCAAAAGAAAGCAGACGACATAAAGCTCTATGGCTACCAGGGTGAAATACACACGATTAGTCCTCCTAATGGTAACATGTGGGTGTAGGATCAAAGTCAAGAGTGACAGCCATGTCACTGGGTAACCAGTGCGTTATCTGTGTGTGAGCACAGAGAGCAGACAGTGAATAGTGAACCGTTAACCCCAACCCGGCTACCCACAACATCCTCCCTCGGGGGCTTTGGCCTTCTGCACTTCTCCCTTTGCACCGTGGCAGGTCGAAATCCACCTCTCATTACACCTGGGCTCCATCGGTGGAAGAATTCTCTCCATATGTGGCGAAATTGGAAATGAAAAACAAATAGTAGTTCCTCGGTACTACGTGCTCCCTGCTCCCTCCTCCGGCTCTGTTTGCTGGACACTATCTCCTCTGAGCTACAAGTTCATCTGCGAGCACGGGTCAACAAAGTTACTCATAAAAATAATGGGTTGGCTACATCATGTTTACATTTGATTGAGTCATTTCCTCACGTGTTGCTCTTCCGTTTGCAGACGTCTCATGGACAGTCTGTTGCCGGGGTCTCCATCTAAATTCCCCTCAAGGAAGCAAGATAAGGACTGCTTCTGCGCCCAAGCCTTCCACTTCAGCTAGGAGTAATGACACCTCTTCTGGCGCCCTTCAGTTGTTAAATCAGTTCAGTTGGTCCGTGCTTCGGATTTGAAGTATCGGCTCATGACGTCCACTGATGAGAGGTGGACTGGATCGCAGCTGAGGTTTGTTATCAGGATGTCTCTCTGTCATTCAGCTGGAGAGCCACAGAATGGGACAATGCTCTGCGTGGATGCTGTGCGACTGGAGAACAGTGACTACACTGGGATCGCAACTCAACTAGATGCAGGTTACTCATCCCTTATACACACAAACACACACACACACACAAAGTTATAAAATAATGTCAATGGACCAGACAGTTGGGCCACTTCACACGGTGCCTAGCTCCCATTGGACAGGGCCGTCCGACAGTCAGTCACTAAAACGGCTTTTTGCTCACTCTACATATTGGTGGGTATGACTGTCGAGACCGACGCCAGAGCAGTTGGGGGGACGGGGGACAACGAAGATTCCATCACATCTCATCATGGATTTGAAGTGGCCGATACTCTGAGGCACCTACGAAGCCGTTTAAAGCTCCTACACGTTTTCTTTGAGGCAGATATCTACATTATCTCAAACAAATAAATAACAAAGATAATTTTTGTAAACTTCAGTAATCCCAAATACACCGTCACGCCGCAGATGATCTGAACTTGAGCGGACAACACTTCCTGGTGTGACCGCAGATGCTCCTAACACAAAACTCAGTCGTGTGTAGTTGGCGGAAGTAATACCTGACTTCAGAAGAAGCAAACGTACAATAGACAAAGTTTTGTGTATTATACAAAAATCGGGAAGTTACTTTTTTACAGTTGGTTCTATTTTTTGTTAGTAATCTAAAATCTTTTAAATACTGTAAAGATGTCGACAGAAATCCTCTTGATAAATGCGGGTCTCATCCCAGACATACCAGGTATTTTCCTCATGATTGAAGAATGTGTCGTTTTTTTTAATTCATTGTCACGAACACGAACCCATGAAGAATTTCCACAAAGAGGCCGAAGAACTACAATGGAACCTAAAATATCTCTGAGGCAACAAGCGCACCAGAGTAAACAGACATTTGAGTAAGAATGGGACAGTTACGCAGCCATGCACTGTATGTGCTTTACATCCCCTGTCTGCAGTGGAAGACTTGTCGGGTCCCGTGAGAGGAAACGGGACAGACCAAGATAGGGAAACCTAGTTTTCACTTGGCAAGACTTGGTGTCTTGGTTCCACTTATGGACCTGCGTCCCTGAAATGAAGGCGCTGTATTAATGTAAATAACTATTTCATTTCAAAGAAGATATTTTCTAGACCTAGAATATACATATATAGCCATTGTCTCATTCAGAATGATCTTCTTGAAGTTGCTCCTCAGATCTGCACAGACCAATGTAGTTAAATACTTTGTGAATGGAACACTTTACACAGAGCATTTACATTTACTTATGTGGTGCGGGCTTGTTTGGATTATGTTGTAAGCGTGTGTTTTGAACAGATGAGTGACTAAAGCTATATTTGTATATTCCAAAAAATAAAGTTCTGTGTTAGATTTCATGGCAAATCACTTATTGTGCCATTTGTGTGCGTAGGACTGGAAAGGAGCTTTATGAGCACAGCGTCTAAGTAACATAATTGTTAATAGTTTTCCTACGCTATTTAAGGCATTCTGCATGTTTATACCTACCTGCTCACCCTTCATATCTGTTATGTGGTTTCCTGTGTTGTTATAGCAAATAGTTTGACTCAAGTGACACTGGAGTGTGTGATGCAAGTATTGACACATCAGATAATGTTTTATGTTTGATGTCTCCGGGAGTTGGAGCCTCTCTACTCAGACAGGGGACATTGAGGTCGACTCTTTTATACAATTGCTTGTAAACTGATCCAGTGTGCAAATGAGAACTGACATTGATGGTGACATTACAACGAGGACAACAAACATGCAAAGTTAACGTCACAGGATGTGATTTGGATCGCGTTCATATTGGTACAAAGACGGACAGCTCACCTGAGCGTCCCGCCTTTGATAGGATTAACTTTCTGCTCTGGATTCAAACACAGCTTGGACTTTTAACTATATGGGGACATACTGTTTGAAATATCTAGCGCACTCAAGAATAATCAATAGTCAATCTTTGTAGCCATTTGGTTCATTTGCCTCAGAGAACCATGTCTCCTTCAAATTATTCTCATTCACATTTTTCTTTCGAGAGCAAATCTTTTTCTGAATGCATTGGCAAAATATTCACTGGCAACACATTTGATTTGTTTTCCCCACAACATCCGTTATTATAATAAAGTATCAGCATATCTCATTATTTAGGGACTCAAACCACCTGTCCAAAAAATATGCCGTGCTGGATTAAATATTGAACATGTTCAATCGGAATTGATGTCACAACGATGGGCAGTGGAAACAAGGGAAGAACATCAACAGGAGTTCAGATGAGGTCATTCAGGTCGGCAGCTAACAGAACCTTGGAGTATATGACAGAAAATCCTGTGGCAACGTTGAAGAACTGACAGAGGAATAAAGGTTTTCGGCTGGTGAGGGAATGGGTGTAGGCGTGGAGATGGATTGGGCAGTCTGGTGGTTGAGTACGGGGGGAGAATCTGAGGGCATCTGGTGGATTGATGGAAATTGGCAAAGAGGTGGACTACAAATGGAGAGGAGGGACAAGGGGACTAATTGGGACAATTAACCACAATCTGTCTTCAGGCTAGATTTTGTGTTTAAACCACAGTGATTTGGACCAATCAGGGTCCTGGGAGGAGCAACTTGCATCTACGGAGCGTTGTATAGGTGTGTGTTACTTGACACTGAGAGGTAACTTTGAACTTGTTGTTCAAAACAACAATGGCCCGGACCTACATGAGTCAATTTCTACAATTCAATTACAAACTGTTTGATTTCAATGACTATAATGTTACGTTGTTGGCCTGCAAGTAGCTACGATTGAGCATTTAAGGGGTTAAATGCTTTACTCATGGGCCACTTTAAAGTATTTGGTCATAGGGTTTGCCGTCATGGAATATTTATCCACACATGCCCATCACCATGGAATCCCATTATGTTCAATAGAGGGATACGATACGATGCTTGAAAGCTGAAACAATAACTTCCGACCTCGTCAGTGGCTACTGTCTTGACTCCTGCCTTGGCTCCTGTGTCCCTCACAGACAGTCACCCCATTCTTTTATGTCAGCTTCCTGTCTTGTGTCGCGCCAGAGGAGTAGACCTAGCTGGCTGCGAGCCCAAAACCTGGATGAGAAAGCGAAAAACAAACAAACCCACACACACACACACACACACACACACACACACACACACACACACACAGTTTCACTGCCTTCTGTAGAGTATGATAAAGTCTCTCCCTCCTTATGTTTTTTGTATCCTCCCTGATTGCAGGTAAAGATTGTTTGGGTTCATGTTAAAAACAGCCGTCCACTTTTAAATCATCCAAAATGCATTAACTGTGTCCCGTTGCAACCATGGAGACATTGTGACTGGACTCCCCTGCCCCCGCACTCCTCACACGTTGCTTGCCCCCCACCCCGATCCCCATGTCCTGGTCATGGAGCATGGCTCACAGCACGTACCTTGTCTCCCTCTCCTCTCTCTCCCTCATGTTGGCTCAGACAAAAGCAAACAGCCCCTTGAGCAAATAGAGCAACAATTTTTTTTTGTCAACACTTCTGACAGCGGTGATCCTACAGCATTAATACTCATGTCAGAAAGAGTAATATATACATTAATAAGAAAACGCCTTTCACTGAAAAAGAACATGCAAGATATTTGAATACAAGGCATATTAGTCCTAAACTTCCAGCATCACATTTTGGTTACTTAGACTTTATAGTGTTGAATGGAAAATAAGTTCAATTATCAGGAATATAATTTGATATTCATCATTTATAAATCCCATGCTCATGATTTTATGTGCAATTCTTTTTTGTGAATCTTTTTGTGAATATTTTACCTTCACCATTTTATTTAACCTGCATCAACAATGTGTGTATTTCCCTTACATAGGCTTATGAATTACTAAAGGTAGAACCGTATGAACCTTAATCCGTGTTTCCAGGAATTTGTGGGTCACATGACATCTCATGTTTGCTCTAGATAATGCACATACAAACAGTAAATAATGTTAATTGAATTGACCCACAAGAAGGGGGTAGTATTTAAACTAAATGCAATTAATTTTGAATTGCAATGTATTCTTGCAATCTACAGCTGAAAGGGTTTCTGTGAATAGTTTTAGAGATAATGAGACCGGATTCTGGTGGCCTCTTCAAAAGACATTTCCTCATTTGGTAAATTAAAGAAGGCAACAGAGAGCAGGCTAGTGGTTGGGGCCACATCAAGACATTCTATTGGTTGGACGTAGCCCTCCTCACATTTAATGCGTTGGTAGACAAACCTGTAGGCCCTTGGAGAGGCATCCCATTTGATCTTGGCCTGTCTAACACAGATCTGGTCGGTGTCTGTATAGCACTGTTGCATTGACACAAACGCAGCTCTAAAGACGGATAACTGGCTGGTTAACTGGGTTGCTTGTCCTTCTCATGAGTGGTGAGGCCGAGGGGCTGTTAGTCCCTATCCTGCGGCTAGCTACCAGTCAGCTGTTAGGCTCATTATCTGTAAGCATGGTGGTATTAGCAAGCCAGCTAACTGTCCCTCTAGCCACTTGTTAGCTAGCTAGCTTCCCCATTCCACCATGATTTATTGCTACGGTTTTAGAAAATTAGCCCAAACAAGTTGTTACTTATTTGCTACTTTCCTACATTCTGCCAAGAGCATTTAGGAAAATGCTAATGCTTTTACTCACCTTGTTGGTTTGATTTATATGAGAGCTACGTATCCCCCATTGTAAAAGTGGGTCATTGCCTTCTTCACTGGACAGGTTTTATACCCAAGTTACTTAAGACAGTAAATCTAAGCCACTTGTTGCAGGCAGCTACTTGAGACTGTTTGGTAGAAGTTCCCTTACGGTTGGTTTGTGGGACGCCAATTATGAGATTAATAACCCACCAGTTTTTAGCAGCTCCTGTGGTTCATCCACCGGCCTTTTGGCCATTTCAGGTAATGAAAGGCAATTATCCATGTAGAAGAGCCAGACTATGATACTTCTTCGACCAAACTACGATAGCTCATCACCTGAGAGTTAAAGCAATATGGTAATATCAGTGATTCAGAAATATTGGGTTCAGTGGTGCTTTCCAGGTCACACATATTGAAAGAGGTATGGTGGAAAATGCCTGTTATGACTGCTACCTGTTACCGCTGGAAACAAAGGGGAGTTTTGAGTAAGGACAGATCCAGGAAACGGACGGTCGTTATGGTTTTGGCACTTGGATGTGAACCATTTCACCACAATGGGAAGAACCATGAGGTATGGGGTGTTTAATGATTTCCCACAGCCAGCTTTCTGACCTCTCCCTTTTGCGCTGTTGACGTTACAAGGTCTACAAATATCTGTTTCTCTGTGTTTCACAAGTTTGGCATGACTGTTTTGGTTTTCGGCCTCAGGCAAGCCAACATGGATTGACTTTAATTCAGTGATGCAATTTGGCCAATATAATCATTTAGAAGGATGGGCCATGCCTTGTTGATGTCAATACTTGTATACTGGTATAGGATTGGAAGCCTGCGCTACAGGCTCAGATTGATTATTTGGAAGCTCTGGAAATATGATCTTTCTTGTGTAAAGGGGCAGGTGAGGACTCCGAAGCTTCTCCTGTTTTGTTGGACGATATAGTGTTCAGAGGATATGTTGCAGACAGTGTTTGCATTTTAACTCCATATGCTACTGATCAAATGAAAATGTAATGGTATAAAAATGCAGGTCGAACCTTTCAAAAGGTTTGTTTTGTCAAAAACAAAACAATAAAACAGACAAAATAAAACCACAAAAACAATTAATAAAATGGACTTGAGTGCTCTGTTAATTAAAATTGAGTGCAATATATTTGCAAAACCTTATGATGTTGATGCCATTTCTTATGGCTTCAATTGGCTAAAGTTCATCCATATGCGAACAAACTAAATTAATCAGTTTCATAACAACACGTTGTGTGATAATACTGTAAAGATGACGTATGTCCAGATAATGTACAATACGTCCATAATGTAAATTATATGAAGGTTAGGTCCATATATTGAAGGTCGATATTTAGGTTATCAAGGTCCAAATATTGTAGCGGCCCAGCTATGGCACCACAGAGCATTTTCACATTCTGTTTCAATGCCATTGACAAAATGTTGGGGAGGATGTTTAAAGTTATGTAAAAAGTACAACTAACATATACTTACTGACCAAATGCCACTATTATCCATTTTCATTTAAAGTCAAATTTCAAATAGTGAAGAAGTTTTACTCATGCAAAACCTTGATTTCTGTGGGGCATCATTTGATTACCTGGCACGGACACCATAGTTCTCTAATACAAGCCAGATGCTTTTGGCAGCAGGACAAACTATCCCATTTGAGATCTAATTTCAATGTTTACACAATCAGTCTTTTTGATAAGATACAACTGTAATGAGGGTTTCTAAAAACCATCCGAACAATGGAGTCTACGCACGTCGTTTTTTCAAAGACATTACTTATTGTGGCTGAGCGTTTTATAAACAGAGATAACCTATTATTTGGATAACGATGAAAGAAAAGAATTTGGTTTTATGGGAGGATGTAGTGCAGATTGTCATGGAAACAATGCAACTTTATTTACAAAGTCATCAATAAAAAAATCAAACAGGATCAGTTTTAGAAACACCTACCGGATAAGTGCAGGAGACCCACAAAAGAGCTTCGATTCCAATTAAGCGGCAATAGACGGACCCATGGGCCAAACCGCGAGGACCCTGTGAGGGGCTATGCGGACACCGCTATGGACTTTCCCAGTGAGTTATGGACATGATTTTTTTCCTCCCTCTGTACAACAGCTTTAGCAGCCAGCGTATTTTCACTCTTTACGCAAACGTGGGACCGCATGCGCGGATTGAAGTTGTATCGCTCACCGTGGTGCGTAAAAAGGCGCGTCCAAGTACTTGCGGACTATCGCGTTATCTCTTATACCCTTAGGGGAGGTAAATAAAAGGTTTTGCCAAACGCAGCGGGGAGGCAAAGTCTGGTAGGTGACTGCGCTCACCAGCAGCACACATGGTTTCACGGACACGGACCAACACACCGGTCGGACTAGAGCAGGGACCCGCGCTCTTGGTTTGCCTGCTGGACTTAATGGTTGCGGTGCCTTTACGTTGACACGTACGGTTCGTGCATATATTTAAACACACGATGTTTCTTAAACATGTGGCACCGGTTTGCGAATGTTGCAGAAAACGAATAGAGGTAAGAGCGCATGGAACTTTGTGGTGTCGTGCGTGACTTTGTGTGCTGCATGAGTCTGTCTGTTTGCGCCGTATTCCCAACACGTTAATTACGTTACTGGTGTATGAAGTGTGGACGGAGGCGTGCGGCTTTCTAGTATTTTTTTAGGATTTGACATATTCCTGTGATACTGCGGTGAAGCACGCAGGACAGGAGTTGAGCATAATGCAGAAGAGAGCTATATATAGGAATTGGAAGTGAAGAATTCAATAATGTGTATGGGTGAAAACTGGATCTTTTTTTATTTATTTTCTCTGATCTGTGCCTAACTTTTCCTGCATGCTTCATGATTGTATTCACTGCCAAACTGTAATCCTTCACCCTTTGCAAACTAAGCCAAATGACAGGGTACCAACATTGAACGAAGATAACGGCATGAGAAAAGACAGTGTTTAGTGAGAAAATGACAAAGCAAATCTTCATGTTGGTCTTGGACCTTTTTATAGAGCGGAGCAGGGCAGTGCATCAACTGCAGTTGCTGGTTCAATCGCCACTAAAGCTCTATTAAATCTTGTTACTGTAAACCACCATTGCAGATACAATGGTGTCCTGGGGGTTTGCCAAGCACGGTTTCCTTTTCTGTCATTATCATCTATCATGACATAGCAGAACTGGACCTTGAGTGTATTGAATGCAAAAGCTGAATCTGCAGATTTTCGTGCTGTCGTCATATACGTGTCAGCAGAAAAGAGAAAAAGGTTATCAAAGGCCATGAGGGATTCCGCTGAAACTGGACAGGAAATTATGTCACACCTGTGTCATGTGATCCCCACTTATTTACCACTCTGCACTGTGTGAGGGGGGGCTTTTGTTGGTTTTAATGGCAGAGGTCTCTCTGTTCACCTGTGGGACACGGCAGAGTTAATGGCACGTGTCAAAGCTCAAGTGAGCCAAATGATGGCTCACTTGAGCTTTGACACGTGATCATCCTCCCAAAGAATCACTCCACACGTGGGGGACGCTTGCCATTATCCAAAGCACTGCCGCTTAGGGACTTCGGCTTCCAATTAAAAATAGAAACATGGTTGTGGCATCTGATGTTGACAGATAAAGGTGTGGGTCGTCGTGGCGCAGGGGTTAGAGAAGGTGTGCTGGGAAGCACAAGGTTGGTGGTTCGATTCCAGGCTGCCCCATGTTCCATGTCGAAGTGTCCCTGAGCAAGACACCTAACCCCTAATTGCTCCCCAGGCAAAAATGTGAAAAAAAAAAAAAAAAAAAAAAAAAAAAAAAAAAAAAAAAGCCATGGGTTTAAAGTGTAATGTAAGTCGCTTTGGATAAAAGCGTCTGCTAAATGACACGTAATGTAATGTAATAACCTTTAGTTTGGCCACCGTTCCTGGACTGATATTCCATTGGAATGTAGAGCGGGAGGGAGAGAGAGTGTGTGTGTACTCAGCTCAGATTGATGCATTCTCACGTAGGCTGCGGCCAAGGTGAAAAGGTCAGTGATAATCGCCAAGCCGAGTCACTCACACTTGTATAAAGATATTTATAGTGGCTGCCTTTTTCAATGACAAATGTCAGAGTTTATGGAAAGGAGGTCATTTTCAGACAACACTGACACTGCAATATCCATATATCAATGGTCCATGTTAAAGATTACTGGAGTCCTGGTGTCAACCCGAAACCGACTAGGTGGCAAAGGCATACAACTGGGAATCCTTAGTCTGAGTTTTCTGACCAGAAAAGATTATTTAGAAAAATTTAGAGTATCATAGGAGGCCTGATAAATACATTCTGCACAAATATTTAAAGTTTGCAGTTCCCTTTGAATAACATTATGCATAACTATACACTATTGAGTATACACAAGGATTGTGTGAAAGAAAAGCTTGGTGCAGTTTGGTCCTCTGTGTCTACGACAGTCTGCTCAATGACCTTACACTCGTAGTACTTGGAGGTTAACATGATTACACGACTGACCTCCACGATAGCCAACCCGCAGGATTAGCTTAACTTCTTTTTTTGCCATTCAGTTTCATTTGTTCATGTTATCTGGGAGTCTGGGGGCTCAACCCTGCCTGTATTCGACCTGTCTGCCTTTGAAGATCATCTGTGTTTCCCACCATGCTTCTGCATAACACCTTCAGGCCTCTGTGAAAGGCCCGAGGCCCACATGACCCACAACAGCAGAGCTACTGTCATTGCCAAGTGCGTCCTTGGGGTTCAGAGTGCTGCTCTCTAGAAATAATGTCTACTTCTATGAATTAAGCTGAACCAGCCGCACAATTATAGAAACGCCCTGTTCTGAACAGTCATTTCTGCACTGTCACGGTAGGATCAGGTTTCCTCTCCAAATCCAGGATATCACATGGTTTCTAAGGCGTCACATGCAGCGAAATGAATGGTCCTACGGCTCGGGTCATGGATAGTTAGTGGTAAGGGTATTTGTAGACAAAAGATTCAAAGATAGAAATCATATGGCGTTACCCCTGAAGGTTGGACCTTAGAACCTCATGAGATACATGAAAAAAAAGTGACCGAATGTGTTGTCCCGTGAAGCCTGTGTATAACGATGAAAGACCTTGACTGGCGTCACCGACGAGGGCGTTGAGGGCGGCGGGTCCAGTGGAGACGTTTTACACAAGACGCAGTTGTTCCTAAAGTCTTGTGGTGTTCATACAGTTTTTTTTTTTATCTAACAAAAGAGGCCAAATGGTGCTAACTCAAACATAACTCAAACATTTTAAGCTGTGGACAGCAATGCAAAATGAGAGGTCTGTGTTGATCGTTACTATTTAAACTGCACTGAAAGACATCTCAAAGTTGGTGGAACTCACTTAAATCCAATTTCTTTAGAGCTTCTGGAGGGAGGGCCGGTCATCGTAAACACTGGGACAAATTACTGGAGAGCGATGATGCACGGGGTAACACAAAGACAAGCCGGCAGCCGAATGGGGGGGAAAGCAGGGGGGTATGTTTGTAGGGCTGGCAGGGGGGGGCAGGTGATTAGGTTCAGGAGTAACGAGTTAGAGATCAGGAGGAACACGAGGAAAGGAACTGAAAGGGGAGATTAGTCCCAAAGTAAAACAGGACACGCATGTATGATTAACGGGATGTCACAGCTTGGTCTGTGAAGCATATGAACCGTCCTGCTCCCTCACGTTGGAATGTGTGCATTTATTAGGCTACAGAAAGCTGATAAGACGCCACCGACGCCGAAGCATTATGCTTTTTAGGCTACAATTGTTTGAAGCGATTAGAATCTGATTGGTAGAGGCTTAAGCGGCAAAGGTCATCGTAACGTCACGAAACGCCATAACTAAAGAACGAATGAGCTAATTATGACAATGTCACACACATCTGATGATATTTTGGACTGACTTGGATGTCAACCCGAAACCGACCAGGTGGCAAAGGCATACAACTGGGAAGCCTTAATCGTAGTTTTCATTCAGTGGTGACGTCCACCAGCGTTTGTGTGACTGGATCTGCGTCTGTGTTGTGACAGGACTGCTTGCCTTGCTGTTGATGGTGTTGGAGTGGAGCCGGCCAGGCCTACCGTCCCCGCTGAGGCCGATCTGTGATCTCAGGGTCCTGAACCATTTCATGAAAGAAGCACGAGACGCAGAAGTCGCTATGGTGAGAAGAGACATGTATGCACTCTGATCTCGGGGGTATAGCGCCTCAGAGATAGTGTGGCCCAGGATATCAGCCACACTGAACGTCTGCGCACCACTGGATAAACATCGGCCCTTTCTGATTTTTCTTAGAAATCCTGTGGAGAAGGATGCACCATGTCAGAGCCTGTCACTGTTCCCCAGACCAGAGTCGACTTTGATGTCTGGGAGAATAAAAATGTAAGTAGCTAAAGAAAACCGCTCACTTGCCAAGCAGCCGACAACCCGATGAGATCAGCTGCGACATGGACATATGAGGCCTTTTGGCCGGCCAGGAACTCAAAATGTAGCTACTTCCTTAATTCTGCTCTCTTTAACGCCTGTCCTCTTTTTTTGTTGGCAAGGGATTAGAGCAAGCCGAAGAGGTGCAGTGTGGCTTGTGGCTCTTACAACAGGGCCTCAGCTCGCTACGGACCTCGGTCACCGACACAGCACTGCACAGCCACATCGATAACTGCATCAGGAACCTGCTCAGCATCAACGCTGTGCTGCGCAGCCTCAACATACAGGTGAGTTACGGAAAAGCAAGATTTGTTTTTTTATACGGTCTGTTGCTTTGCTGTAATAAAATGGTGTTTTGTCCGGTAACAGAGAAAGTGAGGAGTGTTACCGTTTGAGAGTAAGACTGTGTGCACTGAAGCTGCTGTCAGAGTTTGTTCGTCAAATTGTGGCCTCGCAGCCTTAGAAATGAGTCATGGTCAAGCGGAAAGGCCTTGTGGATAGACAAGCTGAAGCTGAATGAACAGCCTGTGATCTGGGTCAGGGGTCACTGAAATGAAAGTTTCATCATCTGGAATGAAGTTCTTAAAACCTGAAAACCAAAACCAAGATGCGGAAAACAAAAAAGAAACAAACTTTTCCAATCCTGGCAAGATTCTAGATATATTTCGTTGATACCAAGGCATGATGAAGAAGACTGCTACAGCACATACATAAATTGAGACAAGCGTAACATGTTGCTTTGTCTTGTCCTTTAGGAATACACCCCCCCGACGAGTGCAACGGGGCTTGAGGGAACGTGGTCGGTGACCTCGGCGACAGATTTGCTTCAAGTCCACGTCAACTTCCTGCGAGGCAAAGTGCGCCTCCTTCTGTTGGACGCACAGGCTTGTCAGCAAGATGTCAGCTGATCGGCCGGTCTCCCCACTCCAGGCGAAGCTCATTTGCGTATCCGAAGGCAAGAGGAGGGACTTGACACTGTTGACCTGCACGCTGGCTGCTGGAAGCGACGTGCAGAAAGAGAGATGAAGCCATCCTCACGTGAGGGGCGGCCGCTGAGCGGAGGGGACAGTCCCAGCTGGGCTTTGGGTGGGCGGCAGATGATTGCACCTTGGAGCGTGGACCTGAAACATGGACACGGTGATGCACACGCCGTGGGAGGCACCGCTCCGGACGCTGGTCTTCTCGCACGCTCTCTTGCACTCTGTGTGTTTGTGTGTGAATGCTGCAAGTTTTTATCTGTGTGTAAGCGTGCATGTGTCTGTTTCCAGTAAGTCTGACCCCTGCACTTAACTCGCATTGTGGGGTGAAACTGCCAGAAAATATTGATTGCACCTGGAAATCGGTGAGCCGAGGGTTGCGAAAGGGCGTCCCTTTGCACCGCCACTGCTAGGAGGCGCCGAACAAACGAGGCCTCATCCCCACAAGCCCTTTCAACTACGCCTCAGTCACAGTTCTTTCTCTGGGATTCTTTTTTTTTGATGAATATTTTTATACATTTGTAGGATTAGTATTTATACAAGTTTTCTACTTTTAAGCTCCAGTGTTAGTATTTTTTGGTGTCTGATCTCTTGTGTAACACTGAAAACAACTGGCATAATTTGCGATGGCACGCTGCCGTCTGGCTGCGTGTTTTATGCACCTAACTAGCGGTTAATATCAAAGCATTGTCCTTCCGGCTAGCAGAAGCAAAGGAGTAAGAAGACAGTGTGGCTGGTTGGAGCGTTGCACGAGATGTTTTTGTTCAGCCGGTCTCCCTTCACACACTGATAGCCCCACTGACCGGAAAAATGCGGTTTTCCCACTTAGAATTCACATCCTGCGAGGCGGGAATCGCAAATTGTTTTCCAGTATCTGACGTTAACACTGTTGCTTTCCTCCCGTCATGTGTTCGTCATCAAACTGCAGACGGGCAATTAGTTAGACATGGGAACTCGTGGTTTTCTACAAAATGTATGCTCAACTCTTTCAGACCGGTTAAGTGTCCTTCCTTGTTTTTTCCCGTATTGCTTTATCTTGTTGAGAGTGCAAGATGTTGTTTAGGATGTTTGTACATGTTTTTCTTCCTGTTCTTTTTGTCCCATCAGTGTATAATTTGCTATTTAAATACAAAATATTATTCTTGGATAAAAGGATAGATGGAAACACAATAACGGGAGGTCTGTCCAGTTCATTCATGTCCCAGGTCTTATTCAGGTCAGTGGAGTAAAAGATGAAGTTAAATATTCCAGCACATTGAATGTACAATTTATTTTTAGTCAAGAAATCAAATACACAGTTTTCCCCAAAACGGTCCATTACATACATAAAGATTAACACCACCAGCAGTTCAGTGTTCTGAAAACCAAATTTAAATTGATTTACAGTGGTGACATCTAGTGGACATTTACTACTACAACTTGTTTGAAAGTAAAAGCTTTGTATTCTTCAGCTTTTCTAACATTAACACTTGAACAGTCCCTTTAAATTTAACACAGCCATGTCTACAAGTAGTTAAATACGCGAGGGTTCACCTGACAAACACCTCTGCTGCTAGACGACTTGCAAAGTAAAAAAAATAAATGACAGCAACAATTCAACATGCTCAATATGTTTAGTCAAGAGAGGTTTTACAGACTAGAGTATTACAACACAGTTAAATGGGCATTCAACCAACACGTTGTCCATTCGGCAGTCTCCTGCTGCTGTCCTCAGAGGTGTCCAAACACATGCACACAGTCCCGCCTTCTGACAATGTTATATTCACGAGGAAACAAGAAGGACTTCTATTCAGCTCACTGAGCATCAGGGTAGAAGACCTTGATATGAATGGCCGAGTTGTTGCGGGTGCGCGTCATTGGCTCGCCGGCCTCGTCGGGATCTTCTGGCTCGAGGTCGTCCACTAGCTCCACCGTGGAGGTGTTGGCAGCCAGCTGCAGCGCCCCCTGGCTGCTGGCCTGCAGTTGAAGGGCGATGTTGATGGCCCTGTTGATGGCCAGGCCCAGGCCGTGGACGCAGATCTCCCTGTGACCCCCACCGTCCAGCAGCTTCTGACAGCGTGCCAGCTGAGCGCGGAAATCCGTCTTCATGTTGACGTAGACGTCGTTCCGTCTCTTCGGTAGTTTCCGGGGGAGGCGCTTCCTAAGGGTGTACTCCACTGGGTCCATGTCTGCGGCCGGAGGGGCGGAGTCAGCGTGCACGGGGGCTGTCTGAGGCGGAGAGGTCATTCCTGAGCTGCGTGGCTCTGTCATGTTTCCAGCGTGTAGATATGAGCTTTAGGACAGCAGATGGGGCCAAACGAGCAAGCTGAGAAAATAAAGTTAAGAAGTTAATGAAACGTCGTGATACATTCCAGCATACAAACGGATTATTGTGTTTTGCGTAGCAATATTATCTGCTGGACGGGGTCTATAAAAAGTATGCAAACATTTAACAATTCCCCATCAACATTTAGCCACGCTCTTAAAAAAATTGTTACTATCTACAACCGGTCCAAAGCTCAAGACTCAAATCAAAGACAGTTTGATTCTTAAATCTGAGCGCTTTATGTTATATAATATTTTTAATAAACACCTCACACAGGGTAAGTGATTCAGTTTGGGTCAATCAACAGTTATTACTATTATTTCAGCTCAAAACCCTGACGTAATTGTACTGATATAACAACAACAACAACAAAATGCAGCTGTAACTCATCTAATCGAGCTAGACAAATTTGGCTGAATGGTTAACTCATAATTTCACCTTTATTGAAATGTTGTAAACTGATCTTTTTCCCAACACTTGCTTAAATGTTTATGACTGCAGGAGTAATAGACAAAATAACCCGAAACGTTAATTATCTCCAAATATGACTAATTAATGTTACTAAACAGGTAACAGGACCAGTAAATAAACGGCATCATACTAAAGTTTCTACACTGCTAATGGAATTAATTCACTTCCATGTCAATACGACTAGGAGAATATAACATAACAACTATTGCAATAGAAACACAAGATACAGAAATCCCATTTAACTGTCAGAGTGAATATAACCCATCTGTTGAGACGCAATGTTTGAAATTTGGTCAGAAAACTTGAGGAACTAAAATCAACGTTTAAATGACAGAAAAACACGCTGTGTTATGGAGCAGCGCCCATAACCGATGCTACCACACGCACACGTTACAGCAAGCTAACGCTACCGAGCCCGGGAGCGCTGAGGCAGCTAACGTTAAGCTAAGCTAGCAGTACAGCCATGTGATGAGCACGCTTACCTCCAGAAGATGATTTCTAGTCAATAAATACGCCTTACATCATCGATATAGACCTAAGACGAGTTACACGCATTTGTGAAACAGTAGCATTGGCTTTAGCCAACTACCGCTAGCTGTTTATTTTCCGTGCGCCCCGGAAGTAAATGACCTCTGCCACTCTCCTTAAACGGAAGTGACACACTTCAGGCAGCCTGTCCGTGAGCACGTCGCTAACGTCTCTCGATAGATAATTATGATCTGATAATCAATCATTAACGTTAAGTTTTTCGATTTAAAAAATCCCATTAAACCGTTCCATTTTCACAAAAGGTGGGATTTATCCGTGTTTATTCTGCCAAAATGAAACACTCAACAGTCACTTCAATAAGTAGGCTACACCTTGTTGGTTAAAGGTTGGCTGATTAGCAATTTGTGTTAACAAGCAATTGAACAGGTACAGGTACAGGTGTACCTAATAAAGTGGCTGGTGAGTGTATGTGTATATATGACATCATCATTTAATAGTTGAATCCAGACATATGCATTCAACACAGTTCTCAAACCATTTATAGACCACTGACAAACAGTTGTCAGAAAATGTCGATCAAGATACTATATGGAGAAGTTTGAAGTTGACAAATGTTTAGAACTCCATATGTCTTAAAAATGTTCTTATTATTTTCATATTTTTCATTACTTTGATTAAGAAATCTCTCACTTGTACGGATTCCTCAATTCTCTTAATGTAAGTGGTCACGCTTCATGTGCTTAAATCTCCACACGGAGCAATTCCATGAAAAAAACATGAAATTTCAATGGAGGGAAAACAATTAAATGCCAACGTTGATAACAAGTAAGTATATTGGATTAGGCAATGTCTACCGCATGTGAATATGATGCTCCAAGTAAAAATGTATTGTTCGTGTTCTTGTTCTCTCTAGGGCCTACAGTGGCCAAGAGGGGAAATCCCTGCCTCACAAGAAAAATCAGGGAAGGAAAATTATACAATAATAGTGGCTGCTGGTGGAACATTTTCTAGTTAGGGCCATCCAATCAATTTCAATTTGAGAATTGCTAAATTGTATGGCTTTTTAAGTGTAACGTGAAAATGTTATTTAAGCCTGACTGTGCTGCACGAGGAGAAGATGTTTAAACATCGTGATTTTCATGGACTCGAAATTAATTTCCTAACGAGGTGTAAATTGTGCAGCACAGCAGAGAGAACTACTTAATGGATGAAACAGTGTGAAGTGCTGCTTGAGTTTCATAACCCAGTTTACGGTTCCGAGAAACCACGTGATCAAGAAACCCTACAACGAAAGTGAAACTTTGCTCCCCGGCAGGAGGACATAAGGAGAGGTCTGCAGGGGAACCGCACCCGCGGCGCGCCTCGTACAGGACAAACACAACTCAAAGCTGCACGGAGAAAGGTCGCTGCATGGCCAGGGGGGGACACCCGTTCTCCGGGAGGTGGGTCTCTTGATGCTACTGTTTTGTTCGTTACTTTGCAGTTATGTGACGATTGAGAATATCTTTATAACAAGTCGAGAAAACCAAAATGGAGATCGCTGTAAACTCCCTCGAACTTGACAGTCACCTCAATCTGGTGCAGACTTCGTCATTTACGAAACCTTTTGGGGTTTATTTTGTTGACCAATCACCCTGAATCGTTTGACTTCATTGCGGATACTAAATATTTCACCGATAAAATGTTAGACTCTTCCTTTGACTCAGCACAGAATTTGTGCGCAGTTAATCTAAATCACTCTTTTGGGTTTACAGTCATGTATTTACCAAAGTTTCATATTTTCACGCCATAAACTGATGATTAAAGACCGATTAGTACACGTTTGTTTTGTATGATGACGTATGGGAATCTCAACATCTATCATTACTGTATAAAAATGAATTTAAATTGATATTGGAACACACAAAAAACATTTCCCCTCTACACTTACAACGCACCGTTTTTTAAATGATTTGCAATGTGAAACTAATTGAATTTAAACCTGAAAAATTCTGATTTTGATAAACTCCATGTTTAAGGAAGTGGCTTCCCCCAGCAGAGTAGAGGGAGTGTTCTGCTGTGATATATTTGCTCATGACCCGGTACGGGACAAAACACCTTCTAAGGTTGCATGGGGAAGAAACAATTTGACCAAGAAACCATACATGTTTGCAAATGGCAAAATGTTCTAGTTTTTTTATGACATTATGATTCATGTTGCTTATGTTTGTTAAGTACTGTGCAATATGAAAACGATAAGCGCTGCAGGAAGAGGTTAGGAAGGGGCTCAAGAGCATGTTAAAGTTTAACTTTACAGTTGACTCTTTGAACTCTTTGAATAACCTTTAGCTCTCTGAAACTTTTTAGTTCATTGTGTTCATAGTTACACTAGATTTACCAAAGTTGTACATTTACATACCGCACACACAATGTTAAAAACGTGATAGAACAAATTCTTCATATTCGTACCCCTCCTGATCCTCCACGTGATAAGCAAGTATAAAAATAGTTACATAGCTAAGCAAAGTTACCAATAGCTATGGTTGTTGTAGCCTTAGTGTTGGCATGATATTATAGCACTTGAGCAATAAAGCCCTAACACTTGTTTCTTTTTAACTTTCAGCAAGAAGCTGTTCAATAATAAAGAGCAATCGTGAGCCAGATCTGGGGTGACTGACCCACAATGGAGGTAAACAGCCAGTTTGCAAATCTACAACAAAAATGAAAACGAACGGAAAAAGTGTGTGGGATTCTACGTTGATTCATCAAACCTGAAAATTTTCATTTTGTCATTCATCAAGGGGGTCAATGATGAAGATTCATCCCCCGATCTTTACCGTTCGGGAGAAGAGGACACTGCATCAATGCAATGGTCCGACTTTCAACACGCCACGTGTGGTAAAGGTCAGTTTTACACAGTCTATTTTACTACAGAAAGGCACTAAATGATGTTAAGTCCATAAGTAGCTTTAAGGAAAGCAGGTTTTCATATATTTCCACTTGGCCAAGCCTGTGAGGATGGCACCCTGTCATGCCAGTAGCAAGTCTGTCTACATAAGTAACTTTACTTCAAATCTTTTAAAATCCTCAAGGAACACGTTAATGTAAATGACAATTCTTCTGTAGTCAGGTGTGTCAATAAGTTGTTAACTGATATACATCAATCAAATCAAAATCAAATAAAAAATGATACTAAATTAAGTTAAAACACATTTGCATGATATTTTTGTAGTAGATTTATAGTGTTTGTGCTGGTGCAGGCATAATTATACACGAAAGAGCCTGATAACAAATGACTACAAATAGAGATCTTGAGATTTTCATGCATAAAGTACACTTTAAACTGCGGTTTACTGCAGCATACATCGAAGGACCAGGTCAGTGTCCTGAGTCTGTCAGAAAAATAAAATGAAATGATCTGTGATGATGACGGATCACCTGAGCACACGTGGACTCATGGTAGGGTAGTGGAAAGAGTGGAATTCACACCGGATTTTATGATGAAGCCATATTGATTTGTATTCTGTTGTTGAAAAAGAAAAACCTTGTCTCGTCACAATTATTAAAGCAGGTAATCAAATGAACAAGAAAACCAAGCCTTAATTCAGTCTGTTTGGTTTTATAATATTTCTCACACTTCACAATTCTATTGTGAGCTGACAACGTACGAAAAAAAAAAGCAAACAATTGAATAGAGGTTTATGGTTTCCTGCAGCTTGAATGCAAAGTGAGGGTGTGAAATTGTACAGCCTTCCCAGAAATTTCAGCTTACATGCATGTTTTGTGGACACACAATTGGTTTGAAGTAACAAAAATCTTCATATCCACAGAGACCTTAGCGACCTTTCTGGAGGATCTGGGGTTGATGCAGCTCTACCCAGAGAAGTTGTCCCTGTGCACAATACTTCAGATTGACGAGAAGACCATCAGTGATGAACCTGCCAAGTGTAACTCAGATCTACCATGGTACTTTCTCAAGAAACTGATGATGGTTAATGTCACAGCTAGAAATGCAAAGTGTACATCTGTAAGTCAGCCAAACCGTGATGCTGCAGCAGCAAAGAAAGAGTTAGATTTTGATGATCTGTTTGAGGATCTGAATTTAGGTGACATGCTAAACCCCCTTGACATAATCACCGCCCTCTTTCTGTGTTCTGATGGTTTTGTACGACAGGAAATGGCACTTAAAATGTCCATGTGTCAGTTTTCTGTGCCTCTGCTGCTTCCTAATTGTGATACAAAGCAGTGTACACTCATGCTTTGGGCCATGAGAGACATCGTCAAAAAGTACAGACCTCAGTCCCTTACAGAATCCAAAGGCTTTAATGAAGAAAGAATTGTTCTCTCTAAACTTCCAATGATATCTTTTGTGAGACTGGGTGAATGCTCCTTGTCAAAGTCCGAGATCCTCAATAAGCTTCTGAGTAATTCGCAGCAGTACCATGACACCTTTGTTCATCATGACATGGAGTGTGGTGACAGTCCAAGGAGAATATCCAATGGACTGGTTGAAATCACTTGGTACCTTCCTTGTGGGAACAAAAACATGGATGTCTTTAGTGAGCCGGTAGCTGTAGCTAACCTTCGTGGGGACATTGATTCATTTGAAACACAATTTTCATTTTTGTGTGAGACATCTGCAGCAGTTTTTGTCTTCTTTGACGCTTTGGATTCTAAGTGTGAGCTGCTTACCAACCAACGACACAAAGCACAGATCTTCTTGGTTGGGAACCATCAAAGCAAGCGCTCCGGTATAGATGCTCTAAAAAAGGTAGCGACCAAGTTGGGCTTGACCAACAGCAACATAATATTGAAGACTAAACAAATGAATGATGCAGACTTTGTCAAAAAATTGCGGCAGACAGTCAGCAATGTTGTTGAGAACACAAAGGTGAAGATGGGAATCGAGGAAATGGCTGACATTGCTCATGAACTGGGAATCTGGGTTGATGAAGATTCTCCAGAGTGCCAGACTGCCAAGAAAAATGCAGATGCCATCACTTCTGAAATTCAAGATATCCTTGAATACAAAGAAGCCCAGCTGCCCTTGCAAGGTCAAATCTGGAAGGAACTGACCCGCTTAGAGAAGGAAGAATGTCGGCTTCGAAATGTTGGTTCTGAAAAAATAGAAGACTACAAAAGCAATCTTCAGGAAGAGAAAAGCAAACTTCGGGAACAACAGAACTCTTATGACATGTCAAATGCAATGGCATGTTTCATCCAGGCGATATCAAACCCGGGGACCGAGAGGTGCTACTTCCTGAAATGGATGCGAATAAACCTTGATAACGTGTCCCGAAAGAAACTGTCTTATCTCAGGGAGCAGTACAAAGAAAAATGCAAAAATTCAGAAAATAAAGAAGAAATCAAAGAAATTGACAGACAACTTTCCAAAAGCTCATTGGGGATTGAACACTTCTTCCGCGAAATGGGTCAGATCTATGAAGCATCACTTTCCCTTCCAGAAAGGCATCCATCACGCCAACAATTACAGCATCTGCCAAAACTCTGCGCACAATTGTTACTTGATGGATTTCCCCTTGAGCTGGTAGATGGAGATGCATCCAACATACCTCTCAGATGGGTCAGTGACGTTCTTTCTCAGCTCAATGACTTGATATCAGCAAAGAGCAAAATACTGGTGGTCACAGTTCTTGGAGTTCAGAGCACAGGGAAGTCGACTCTCCTCAACACCATGTTTGGAGTGCAGTTTGCAGTCAGCAGTGGTAGATGCACTCGAGGTGCTTTTATCTTGCTCATCAGAATCAAGGAAGATGTTAAAAAAGTTCTCAACTGTGACTTCATGGTGATTATTGACACTGAGGGCTTAAAGTCACCAGAGCTTGCACAGCTGGACAACAGCCATGAGCACGACAATGAGCTTGCAACCCTTGTTGTGGGACTGAGTGATATCACCATCATCAATATTGCAATGGAGAATTCGACAGAAATGAAAGACATCCTACAAATAGTTGTGCATGCTTTCCTCAGGATGACAGAAGTGGGAAAAAAGCCCAAATGTCAGTTTGTTCACCAGAATGTGTCAGATGTTTCAGCCCATGAGAAGAACCTACGAGACAGGAAACTGCTTCTGCAACAGTTAAACGAGATGACCCAGGCAGCAGCCAAAATGGAAAAGAAAGAAGAGAGCAAGAGCTTCACTGATGTGATGGAGTACAGCCCAGACACTGGGAACTGGTACATTCCTGGACTCTGGAATGGAAACCCACCAATGGCACCAGTCAATGCAGGGTACAGTGAAGCCGTGTACGAGCTGAAGAAGAACATAATCCAAATTTTAGGAAGATGTCAATCAACTGCCAATGATGTGTTGGAGTTCACAGAATGGATAGAAAGTCTTTGGAATGCGGTGAAGCACGAAAACTTCATCTTCAGCTTCAGAAACAGCCTTGTGGCTGATGCATACATGAGGCTGTGCACAGAGTTCAACAAATGGGATTGGGAAATGAGAAAGTTCATGTACACGTGGGTTCTGAATGCCGAAACAAGGATTCAGAACTTTGGAACTGTTGCTGGGAAATCTGAGATATCTGAAATGTCAGAATTTCTCACACAATTGAAAAGTGAAGCTGGCACAGTGCTTTCTATATGGGAGACAAAGCTTCTTGACAGTCTGGCAAAGTACTTCAAGCAAACAGAGGGTCATGTCTATCTGGTGGAAGGATACAGAGAGAACTTTGCAAGCAGTGCGAAGAGTCTTCGACGAGAACTGGAGAACTCTGTGTTTAATCAGCTCACAGCAGCAGCTGACATCAGACAGGGGATGACGGAACTTGATAAAATCAAGGAGAACCACACAAAACAATTAGAAGAGAGAGTGTGTGCATTGATTGAAAAGTGCCAGAAGATAAAAGTCCAAATGACAGAAAAAGAGCTGGATGAAGAATTTGACAACATGTGGACTAAAACATTGAAGGAACTCTCCTTTTCAGAAATGGAGGTCAAGGACATTTACACTAGTGTGTCTCACCACCTGAGACAAAATGTACAGCACAAGGGAAGTCACGCATGCAAATTGTTAAATCAAAAGAAGTTGCAAGATTGTGGACTTGAACCCTTCAACATAACAGCTGAAGGATTCTTAAAGAAAGTGATTGGATGGTTTTCCAGTCACCCAAAGGCTGTCCAACAAGTTGCAGACAGCATCATTTCAAGTTGCACACAGTGTATAACTGGAAAAAAGCAAAGTAAAAACAATTATCATGACACTTACATCCAGGAGATTTTGAATTTGATCGATGAGAGGCTGCAAAACCATCAGGATGTTATGACAGACATCGGGTTTGAAGTTTCTCTCAAACAGCACATCTGTGGAATCGCAGCAAGACAGTTTCAAGAAATGCATCAAGACTTCATCAATGTGAACGATCCCCACAGATGCCTGAAGCAAAACAAGGAAAAGTTCCGCACAGATTTTAAAGATGTGTTCAATGAACGAGACCAGTGCCACAAAAAGGCAGAAGAATTCATGAAGAGCTGCTTGAGGCCTGCAGTCGAAGACTTTGTCAACCGTTTCTTGGGTCCTGATATCATTGGTGAAATGCTGACAGACCAGAAGTTCAGCACACGAATGTTCTTCCAGTCTTCAGTTTTATTGGATTTGTTATCAAAGGATGTCTTTGAGAACTATCGGAGCTACATTTGCTCTTATGAAGAGTACGTAAAGAAATGGATACTGGACCAAATGGTGGAGCGCTTCTCAAACAGCTCTGCAATGTCGGAGTTTGAGGATCGACATCTCCTGTCAAGTATCAAGAGCATAAATGAAGCAGTTAACAAAGCTAAAACCAAGAAGAGTGGAAACCTGAGGTCATTCGTTCAAAATGTCTGTCAGGAACTTGGTGATAAACTGGTCATTTCCCAAGATGCCCTTGTTACTTTCATGGTCCTGAACAATGCCGACCAGGAACTGTTTGCTCACTGGCTGACTGGCTGTGTGAAGGATATGAAACAGTTCCTTGAAGAGAAGTTTAAAAAAACAGACATCTTAACAAAACTACAACGATTAAACGTGAATCCTCAGAACGAGCTTTGCGCCAAAATGATTGGATGTGGTAAACAGTGTCCGTTCTGTGCAGCGCCTTGTGAGGCAGGAGAAAAAGTCCACACCGAGCACTGGACCTCAATACATCGGCCGCAGGCTCTGGGGAGATTCAGGTGGACTCTGACAGAACAGCTTGTCACTGACGTATGCTCTTCCTCTGTGATCAGTGACGCAAGTTTTCGCTGCTCTGCCACAGAGAATGAATGGCACCCCTACAAGCGTTACACAGAGATTTACCCATACTGGAGAATCGCTCCAGATGTAAGCCTTCAGGCTTCAGACTACTGGAAATATGTAGTGAGAAAGTTCAACAAGCAGTTTGCCAAAGAATTTGATGCAAAGCCTGCAGATGTTCCTCAAACATGGAAACTGATCACACGTAAGGAAGCAAAAGCAAGCATCAAAGTCTCCTTTAAAATCAAGTGAGAGACGACATGCTTTCAAGTTAAACAAGGAAATGCAATGCTCAGATCACACTAAACATGTTTAAGTAAAGTTATGTTTTCTATTTTGATAAGGAAAATTCTAAATACAGATATATATTGAGCCAATATATACGCAAGGGGCACAAGCTAAAATATAACATTTTTTGTGTTCAATTTTAGAATCTGAAATGTTTTTGAGGAAGATGATATTTCAGTGAAAAGATTGACACCATGAATCATATGCCTTATCCCTTAATTCATTTTTTTGTTTCTACGACATTTCCATCTCAAATAATAACTTTTGTTTTCAAATGCCAATTAGACATATATACTGGAAATATTCTTAAGATTCTGAATACACATATTCATGTTTACAAAAAACAAACAATTTACTCATTTTGTCTGTGTGTATTCTTTTGTTCACTGTATCAATAAAGAGACTTAATGAATGATTGTCTTTAATGTATAATATCTCAGTGATAATGAAGCCATTATCAGAGACTGTAGTTTTCGGGCACCTTTAAATAAGAGTAAACCAAAATCCAGCGGCAACACTGAACCACAGCGACTCACTTCATGACACAGACGAGGCGAAGTGTGTGTCCACGTACATCCAGTCTGATCCACTGTTGGACACACGCTCACACTCTAAAAGCGCACAGGACTTTTTGCAGATACATTTCATCCGTCTCAACTGCTGCGAGCATGAAGCTCTCCACTTCTCCTTGACATCACTGTAAGTTCAACACCACCTCCTTCACCACAATGCCACAAAGTGTGTGGAGGCAAAAAGTCCTGTGTGATTTCATTTCTCTCTGAGGCATCGTGTGGTGTAAAAGACCTCCTATCCATCCCACCTGTGATTAAGTAGACACATGTAAACACCGCTACAGGAGAACTGGGGGAATATTTAGTTTTCCCTACTTTATTTTTAGTGTCTTGGTTTAGAAGTCCTGACCAGGAATCACAGGCCGAGCCCCCACACCACTACGTCAGACAGCCGGTCAAAGCTGACTTTTGTTCGGGCTCTTAGTCTTTTATCTGCAGAATAGTTGCATCACAAGATACATTTGAAAATGAAGAGGGAAGAGAAGTTGTTAGAACTAAAATCCATAAACTCTTTCAATTGGAAACGAGCAAAAGTTAACTTCAGCGTCTTATGCTCTCTGCCGAGTGAGGGCTGCAGTGATGATGCATTCATGTCACAGTGTTTCTCCTGGTAAGGAATCATGGTGCTACAGGATGCCCTGGTAATTGTGGACAATGTGAGACAAAGGGGAAGAAAATGTATTTAGGATGTTATTAATGGAAAGCATTTTTTTTTTACCTCAAGCTTGCAGCCATTTTCTGTTGTTGCCAACTGCACCTGTTGTCTTTTGTTATCACAAAATAAACCTAAACGCCAGTTTAGGGCCAATAGAAATCTTTTTTTTTATATAAATAGGAAACATAATTGTAACATGTGGGTCTGTGGGGGTCCCGGAATAATGAGGATGTGGCTGAGGGTTTTAGTGATCAGTCTTTTTTTTATCGGTTTTACAAGCACGACCGGCTCCAGCCTCGTCGCCTCGCTCAGCTCTCTCGCTGTCGCCGGATCTCTCCTACTTAAAGGCAGAACAAACACACACTGATTAATATCAGCTGAGGCTGATTATGCCTCCCCCAGCACCGTTCCCCGAACCACTCCCCTCTCCGTCCCCTCTGCAGCCGAGCCAAACCACGCCCGCCACCACAATAATGTTCTTCCTGATGTCAGCCAGTTGTTCTTCTGGCCTGCGAGCCAACAGAACTGCTCCCGCCTTTGCAAATGCAGCACTGATACTTGACCTGTGATCTGACAAATGCATCCACCAGAACGAGAGAAGTTGTTTGGCTGAATTCTTCCACCTGTCCCCAACCGGGCTTCCAATTTTGATTGCGTTTGTTCATTCATTCAGTAGGTTGATCGATAAGAATTGACAATTGTTAACAATTCCTCAAAAGTCATAGATCTACCTCCTTCCTATACACAAGATGTATACCAGTGAATCACACACACATTCCGTTCATCACCTCACAATGACTCACTAAGCATCACCAACTTGTGCTACAGAGTTGCTGTCAAAGAACTTCCTCCAGTGACACCATCCAAAGCCATCAGGGTTCTTGAGGATGACTTTAAGGATGTCAGTAACAGTCCAAACAAAAAGCAACTGTTACATTTAGCATAACAGCACTTAGGATGTCAAGTGCAGTCATAACCCAGTATTTGTTTGCTAAAACATTGCAGGCAGCAAGATATTCCCTTCAGAGGTCTTCACAGAAATCCCAATTGGAGACTCTGAAGTCGAAAGGATTTGAACACTGAATGTGCAAAAAAAAGTGTCTCTGACTGCCTGTCAAAGTTTTCATCATGGTATGAAGCCACACAAGCTGTCTCCTTCGTTGCGTAGGAGCAGGAGCAGGAGCGAATACTCTCAGTCATCTTTAAGTAAGAGACTTAAAGATCCAGGAGTATTCAGAGGTGCTGATAAGTAAAGGATCCCGACTTCTACCTTTTCTTGATCAAGATGGGATTCTCAAGGTGGGAGGAGACGAAAACATTCATTGCTCCCTAATTCACAGAATCAGTAATTTTTATAGGATAATAGCTCATTGTCATGAATAAAGCAGATGATCAACCACGGAATGAGTGGAAACTGTGCAAAAATCTAGAGGACTGATAGAGACGGACTAGTGAGAAAAGTAAAGACTTGTTTCGGGGATCAGAGATTGGGAAAGGAAGGGAAGCGTTCTGACAAGCCGTCCATCTTTCAACGTCATGTTTAGAAGTTTCTACTCCTTGTGACTGTTTGTGACAAAGTGGGTGACAACTCACCTTTGTCCCCATGATGGTATGTGGTTGAATGCTTGCCATGCTCTGCAGGTGTGCTGGAGGCTAGAGGGGGCAGGCAGTGAGGCCTAGTGTTTGTGCAGGGGCTGATGTCAGCAGTGACATCATCGGGTGGATTGTCATAATGAGTGTCACCTGTGCACATTGATTGACGGCGCTATAAAGGTGGAGGACATTGACTGTGGGGAGGAGGGATGGTGGAACATGTGTAGCTGAGGGCTGATTTCAGATGAGGTGATGTTAAGTTTCTTCCGTTTGGTTGTTTATCTGTTTTAATCAGACCTGTATAAGGAAACTTCCTTATTTTTTTACATATAAAGAAACATATTTTTTACCTGGACCAAGTCTCGCTTGCCTGCCTCCTAATTCCAGGATTCCCTCGGTTGTGACCTCACACTGTTTAACTTTACAACTCTATCCTTTACTGTATGAACAATTCCAATGTGGACATTTTATATTGTATTTTATAGATCTGTTAGTTCATCTCAGGAGCAGCCTTCCCCTCACTTCAGGACATTTACTCATCCAGGGTCACCAGGAGAGCCCAACATATCATCAAGGACAGAACACACCCCCACCACGGACTTTTCCCGCTCCTGCCGTCAGGCAGACGGCGCTACAGGAGTTTGAAATTTAGAACCAAGAGACTAGCAAGAAGTTTCTACCCGCAGGCCATCAGGCTGATGAGCAGCTCGCTCACCCCACTCCCCACACCACTGATAACAGCCCCACTACACACACACACACACACACATACTGACCTGTGACTGTCCACTGATCTGACTTCATGTCAGCAATTCCTTTGCAATATTGCCAAAAACGCATGGTGCACTTTAGCGTATGCACGCATGCACATATATATACATTGTGCTCTATAGAGTGTATATTTATTTATCTCCTTTTTACTTTATTTTTTAGTTTAACGTCTGTAACTATGCGGAAGGAGGGCTTAGCAAAATAAGAATTTCATTGTACAGAGTAACCTGTTAAACTGTACACATGACAATAAATATCTTGAATCTTGAAAATGTCCTGCCCGTTTGTGTAAAAGTTTTGTTGTAAATTTTTACATTCCAGCAATAATGAGCTTATTCTTTAGAATTAAACGCAAAACCAAATGGACAATCTTTATGCCATGGTATTTAAGTAAAGGACATAATCTAATTATCCTAGAGAAATATTTGCACTCAAGATTAATTTCATTCAACACTGTGTGTGTGTGTTGTTGAAATGGCTAGATTTCCTCCAGGAATAACCTTTGGGCTGCCTTGTTGGCCGCACTGAGTCTCCAATTCTCATTCTGTTATACAGTTTGAGGAGTTACTTCATACATTTCCTTTACCTCTGTGCAACTAATTATTTACCCCTTACAGATAAGCCAAAATTGTAGTAATTGCTTGTTGAGTTAGAAAGACTTGCCTTATTCCAACAGCTTTCATTTTGACTAAACGGGCTAAACTGTGTCTTACAGTCTGCTGCACGTAAATTGTTCCGTAGCAATCTCCCTAGCCAATTGCTAATTCACAGTCAGCTCACGTTGTTTGACAGCTATAAAACTTGATGTCACAAGGTGTTTCTCTGAGGACGCTAACCTCTCTATGTTCACCTGGTTGCCTTCATGTGCGTAGCCTGAAATAAATGGCCGGTTGGAGCCACAACGTGACTTGTGTCTTAATAACTTATTAATTACACAACGCAAGAGAGACAACAGCAACACTGACTCATATCTTTGTTCAATGCTGACACAATGTCTTCGCAACTGTCAACTTCCCGTCACACCCATATTGATCTTTCCATCTTGTGTTTAACACTCCTCTCGATAATCTCTCCATAATCTCCCTTGAATGTCTCACCCTCCCTTTCTTTGCCGATGAGCGACCCCATTCTATATTATTTATATATCCATCTTCACACCGCTTATCCTGCACACAGGGTTGCAGGAGTCTATCCCGGCCAATTTCGGGCAAGAATTAATTATATAGAATTATTATTCATTAGCGCTTTTATCTAATCTATTTTTTAGGACAAAAATGAGGAAACTTCGGACGGCCAAAATAAATCTTGGATTGAAGTTTACATTAAAAGTATTTAATTAAAAAAAGGCTGTGCTAAAAATAAAATGTCAGCTGAGGATCTGCTAGTTTCTGTAATCAACAGGCTACAGAGTAGTTCAAAGACTACCACTTAGTGACTTTCTCTTGCATCCTCCAACAAGTCTAGAACAATGAGTGCCTACAGGTATCTTTACAGGTCGGTGTTGGGCTCAACCATAGCGTAAGACCAAGGCTGACTTTTAAATGCAGTGTTCTGCTGCAGGACATAAACCCCCCGAAAGGAATGTGCCTTCACACCTAGGTGTGATTTCTCTCTCTAGGTGAAACAGCTCAGAGATCTGATTGGCCAGGCCACAGACACCACAGGAGTCCCCCTGATCTCTACTGTGAGTTCCCGCTCTCAAATTTTCTGTCCGGGCACGCTTGATCCTACACATTCTAATCATAAGATGTGCATCAGGACACACCTTGTTAACTTGTACCTGGCACAGAACAAAAACTCCCTCGAAAACCCTTTTTGGGAATAAAACGAGGAAGAAATCTGTCGGAGAGATTGAAAGATCTTCTCCCAGGATTTAACATTTCATCACGGATGTCATGTGTACAGTATAAATTGATACAGGACACATTAATTTAATAAAACCTAATGGCATCATGGGGCTGGTCTTCTCTGATGATTCTAATGATAAGTGTCCTAATGCAGAGGATGCAACAACATCCACCTAGGAATAGAATGTTGGCCATAATGCAGACTGTTATCACAGAAATAAACAATTGTTTGTATTTACTAAATCATGAGTCCAATAAACCTGAGAAGCGGTTGTCCATGTCACTGTTCTCTGCTGGTTCTTCAGTGAGAGCTCTCAGCAGTGGTTCACCTCCAGTTGTGTGTGCGGGTGTTTTCTCGACCATTTCAGGATCTCTTGTGCTAAATGGTTGTTGTTGTTCATGGGGCAGTGTTTGTAGAGGGGCTCGGAAACTTGGAAGTGTCTGTACTGGAAATCGATGGTTTTGATGTGACCCGTGGGTCTGAGGTTATGTCTGTGCTGGGCTGTCGTTGTCCCCCATTAGTGTGAGGTGGTCTTGGAACTGTGATGTCCCTCAAAAGGGAGACCGGAAGGTTGCTTAGACCCTTTCTGAATCGGACCTAGTCTTGCTTCTGGTCTCCTAGAACGATGCTTGTCTTGCTTCTGGTCCGGCTCTGCGGTGCTGGTTCTGATGCTTCCTCCTGGTCCTGCACGGTGGTCTAGCAGACTCTGGGCTGAGGAAGTCCTTCCTCTCAGCGAGATGACGGTTGTTTGGTCACTGCTCACGGTTCCTTTTGGCGCCGCTCAGGTTGTTGACAGGTGGTCTCTCCTCTTCTGTGTCATCCCTCTCTGCTCCAGCAGGGGTAGAGGTGCGTCTTCTAGATCCTGTGTGTGACTTGAAACTCATTAGACACCCCCCAGGTATTCCCATAGCTTCTATTCTACTGATGTGGGTTTTAGGTTAATGTAGTTTATCAATTATTGGTGATGCATTCCTGTCTGTTGTTCACTGTGTCTATAGTTATGTTTTGTTTAATCGGGACAATACTGTTACCTTAGTAAGTACAACTCAACGGAAAGATGAATCTTTTTCACCGTCCGACCAGATGTTCAATGTGAATATGTCTATTTACTGTATATCAGGGAAATGTTTGGACATTATAAATCAATAACCTTGATCTCTTGTTCTCACAATAATATCAACCGTGTGTATTTACTCGTATCCACACATGTCCAGCACCTCGTCACAGGAGGTCTCTGGAACTGCCAGTCAGCGACTCGCAAGGCTGACTTCATCTCCGGCTTTGCTATCCAGCCGTCACTCGACTTCCTCGCTCTCACTGAGACCTGGATCACACCTGAGAACACATCCACCCCAGCCGCTCTCTCCTCCGCCTTCTCCTTCAGCCACACTCCCAGGCCCACTGGTAGGGGTGGTGGCACAGGTCTACTCATTTCACCCAAATGGAGCTTTTCTCTCTACCCTCTACCACCATCCACCCCATTGTCCTTTGAATTCCATGCTGTAACAATCACTCACCCGGTACAATTAACCATCATTGTCCTCTACCGTCCGCCAGGCTCCTTAGGTCATATCTTGGAAGAACTGGACATTCTCCTGTCTAATTTCCCCGAAAATGGACCTCCGCTCATCCTCCTGGGTGACTTCAACATCCAGACAGAGAAGTCATCTGACCTCTTACACCTACTTTCTTCCTTCGCTCTGTCACCCAGTCCCTCTCCTCCTACTCACAAAGCCGGGAATCACCTCGACTACATCTTTACTAGAAACTGCTCTACCACTAACCTCTCTGCAACTCCACTTCATGTGTCTGATCACTTCTTCATCTCTTACTCCCTTCCACTCTCTATAACTAACAAACCTCCCTCATTGACTAACTCTATACCGGCTCGTCGCAATATTCGCTCCCTCTCTCCCTCCTCGCTGGCATCCTCTGTTCTATCAGCTCTCCCTTCAACTGACTCCTTCTCACTCTTGCATCCGAACGCTGCTGCAGAGACTCTCCTCTCAACTCTTTCCTCCTCTCTAGACTCTCTCTGCCCTCTTACGACACGACGGACTGGCAAATCCCCTCCGGCTCCGTTGCTGTCTCAACCGGTCCGTGCCATAAGAGCCACCATGCGAGCGTCGGAAAGGAGATGGCGTAAATATAAACGACCTGAGGACCTGCTTGAATTTCAATCTCTCCTCTCCTCGTTTTCTGCTTCTATCTCTGCTGCCAAAAGCTCTTTCTACCGATCCAAAATCGAATCCTCATTCTCTAACCCCAAAAAACTCTTCTCGATCTTCTCCAATCTCCTCGAACCCCCTACCCCTCCTCCCCCCTCCACCCTTCTTCCGGGAGACTTTGTCAACTACTTCACCAAGAAAATAGCTAACATACGCTCCTCCTTCTCAAACCCACCTCTTACTTCTCGCGTCCCACCGACCTCACCTCTTTCGCCCTCACTTTCCTCTTTCACCGCCCTCTCTCCTAACCAAATTCTTACCCTAGTAACCTCTGCCCGTCCGACCACCTGCCCTCTTGACCCCATTCCATCACATCTTCTACAATCTATCGCACCTGACCTTCTTCCGTTCCTCACCTTTCTCATCCACAATGCTCTGTCATTTGGCTGTTTTCCCAATCCTCTGAAGGAGGCAAGAGTCAACCCTCTCCTGAAGAAACCCACCCTCAACCGTTCTGAAGAAAACAACTACAGACCGGTCTCTCTTCTTCCCTTTTTGTCCAAAACCCTTGAACGTCCTATCTTTAATCAACTCTCCTCTTATCTCCACTGTAACAACCTCCTTGACCCCCACCAGTCAGGTTTCAAGGCAGGCCACTCCACAGAGACTGCTCTCCTTGCTGTCTCTGAGCAACTCCACACTGCTAGAGCCGCCTCTCTCTCCTCTGTCCTCATCCTTCTGGACCTCTCTGCTGCATTTGACACGGTCAACCACCAGATCCTTATTTCCTCCCTTCAGGAACTTGGTGTCACAGGCTCTGCTCTCTCCCTTCTCTCGTCCTACCTCGATGGCCGCACCTACCGGGTAACCTGGCGAGGATCTGTGTCGGAACCTTGTCCTTACTACTGGAGTTCCTCAGGGTTCCGTGCTGGGTCCCCTCCTGTTTTCGCTTTACACCAACTCTCTTGGCGCTGTCATTCGCTCGCATGGCTTCTCTTACCACAGCTATGCCGATGACACCCAACTAATTCTCTCCTTCCCTCACTCGGACACCCAGGTGGCGGCTCGGATCTCTGCCTGTCTAACTGACATCTCTCAGTGGATGTCCGCCCACCATCTGAAAATCAACCCCGACAAGACTGAACTACTTCTCTTTCCCGGAAAAGATTCGCTTACCCAGGACCTGACAGTCAACTTTGGGAACTCCGTATTAACGCCCACTTTGAAAGCTAAGAACCTCGGCGTCACACTCGACAGCCAACTCTCCCTGACTCCCAACATCGCCGCGACAACGCGATCCTGTAGATACACACTCTACAACATCAGGAGAATAGGTCCCCTTCTCACTCAGAAGGCAGCGCAGGTACAGATTCAGGCTCTTGTCATCTCACGCCTGGACTACTGCAACTCCCTCCTGGCAGGTCTCCCTGCCACCGCCAATCGACCTCTGCAGCTCATTCAGAATGCAGCAGCTCGACTGGTCTTCAACCTTCCGAAATTCTCCCACACTACTCCACTCCTCCTCTCTCTTCACTGGCTACCGGTGGCCGCCCGCATCCAGTTCAAAACATTGGTGCTCACGTACCATGCTGTGAATGGATCGGGTCCAGCTTACATCCAGGACATGGTCAAACCCTACATCCCAACCCGCACTCTCTCTGAAGACATCAGGACCGCAGAGAGCCTTCACATCTTCCGCCGCAAACTAAAGACACACCTCTTCAGACTCTACCTCGACTAAAGACTAACAAATTGTAGCACTTAAATTGTACTTGTAACGTCACTCATCTATAGCAAATTGTAAATTGGCTTATTTGAGGAAATTGCACTTTCTTGTTTCTTGTTCTCCTGAGTTTGTACCCTATGGTTGAATGCACTTATTGTACGTCGCTTTGGATAAAAGCGTCAGCTAAATGACATGTAATGTAATGTAAACAGTGTCCGTTCTGTGCAGCGCCTTGTGAGGCAGGAGAAAAAGTCCACTCCGAGCACTGGACCTCAATACATCGGCCGCAGGCTCTGGGTACATTCAGGTGGACTCTTGACAGAACAGCTTGTCACTGACGTATGCTCTACATCTGTGATCAGTGACGCAAGTTTTCGCTGCTCTGCCACAAAGAATGAATGGCACCCCTACAAGCGTTACACAGAGATTTACCCAGACTGGAGAATCGCTCCAGATATAAGCCTTCAGGCTTCAGACTACTGGAAATATGTAGTGGCAAAGTTCAACAAGCAGTTTGCCAAGGAATTCAATGCAAAGCCTGCAGATGTTCCTTCAAGATCGCAACTGATCACACGTAAGGAAGCAGAAGCAAGCGTCAAAGTCTCCTTTAACATCAAGTGAGAGACGACATGCTTTCTGGTTACAGAGGCGCACATGCTCATAAATATTCAACATCCTCACATGGATATTTAGATCTTATTAAATTTGAGAGCTGAAGATATAGTAAGTACACATGTTTTAGATGTTTTCTATGTTAATGAGGAAAACTCAAAATACACATATATTGATCCAATGTATACGTAAAGGGCACAAGTTAGAATATACTAAATGTCTTGTGTTCAATTAGAATCTGAAATCTGTTTTTCACTGTGTCCATCAGTGAAAAGATGGACACAGGGAATTAAATGCCTTATCTCTTATTAGTTTTTCTCAAATAGAAATTAGACATTCGAGGGTTGCAGAACAATTGTTTCAATCAAGTTGTATGTGATGTGTATTTCAGTTTTACTCTGGATAAGAATCTCAATATAAAAAAGTAAACATCGTTTGACGGTTCATTGAAATGTAGATTGTTTTGCATCCTTAAATATATATTAAAAGATCTGTATATTAAATATCTATATATTCAAATATATTTATCCTTGTCTAAATTTAAAATGTGAGTTTCCTTTTTATTTAACAATATAATCTTATTTTAACTCCACTAAATTTGTCTGCGTTTCATTTCAATTAGTATTACTTTGAAAGTTTTTATTTTTCAGGAGAATAGAAATAGGACAATATAGATATAAATATTCTAGATGGGGTTTTGTTTACAATTATACACGACAAAAATGTAAATATATGCTGGAATTATTCTTAAGAATCGGATTACACATATTCATGATTACGAAAATATATAGAACTTATTTTTGTCTTCTGTTAAAATGTGTACTTACCTTTGTTCGCTGTATCAATAAAGAAACAAAATTGGCAAAATGGCTATGAATGTCTTTAATGTTTCCCAGATCGAAATCACAGCATACAGTGTATAATAACCTCTAAAGTAAACAGAAATATCATCACCGCATTTATTTATATAGTTTAACTATACCTTTTTTTTAATAATCTTTTTTTAAATTCCATTATCTAACATTTTTCTTCATCTCGGGTTTTGGGTATCTGAATTCCACAAAGAATGTAAACACAAGACAACAGGTGCAACCTGATGCAATCGAGACCAAGCTGGAGATTTATGTGAGTGAGTGAGTGTGTGAGTGTCACTGCACCATATGCGCTCTGTGCACCACGGGCTGACCACAGATCTCATAATATCTCAGTGATAATGAAGCCATTTTTTGGTTTGCTTGGCGGACTGTAGTTTTTGGGCACCAAACCGAAATCCAGCGGCAACACTGAACCACAGCAACTCACTTCATGACACAGACGAGGCGAAGTGTGTGTCCACGTACATCCAGTCTGATCCACTGTTGGACACACGCTCACACTCTAAAAGCGCACAGGACTTTTTGCAGATACATTTTATCCATCTCAACTGCTGCGAGCATGAAGCTCTCCACTTCTCCTTCACATGACTAAGTTCAACACCACCTCTTTCACCACAATGCCACACAGTGTGTGGAGGCAAAAAGTCCTGTGTGATTTCATTTCTCTCTGAGGCATCGTATGGTGTGAAAGTCCTGACCAGGAATCACAGCCCGAGCCCCCACACCAAGGGAAGAGAAGTTGTTAGAATTAAAATCCAAAAACTCTTTCAATTGGAAATGAGCAAAAGTTAACTTCAGCGTCTTATGCTCTCTGCCGAGTGAGGGCTGCAGTGATGATGCATTCATGTCACAGTGTTTCTCCTGGTAAGGAATCATGGTGCTACAGGATGCCCTGGTAATTGTGGACAATGTGAGACAAAGGGGAAGAAAATGTATTTAGGATGTTATTAATGGAAAGCATTTTTTTTTTACCTCAAGCTTGCAGCCATTTTCTGTTGTTGCCAACTGCACCTGTTGTCTTTTGTTGTCACAAAATAGGCATTTCATTCATTCACAAAAAAAGAAAGAAAAAAAACAAGAAACTTAATATTTACAAATATTTGTCTGTTTGATTCTTACACTTAAAAATTTACATTTTTGATCCTCTTCCAGATGTTGCGTGTCTCTCTCTGTCCAGCCACCCAGTTTGGTATTTCTCTTCACACATTCAGTCTCCACAGTGTGGGCAGTCTGCAGTGGAGCAGCCGTAATGTCTCCCTCCAGTGTTAGCTTATAAAATAGACAGGGTAAAAGAACAGACCGAACTAAATACCTTGTTTGAGTTTTCTCCTCTGGTGGTTTCATTGTTGCTGTGCTGTGTTGAGGTTTACCTCACAACCCCTCACTGCCTCCTCATCCACAGGAGCGAGTACAAAAGTGTTCACGTGTGTGTATCGGACATGTTTGATCCTCCGTAGGGCAGATAGGTAGGTTTCCTCCTGGCAGACATTGTGGGTAGAAAGATGACCGTGCCTTTGAATGTTCGCATTTTCCTTTTCGATTTCTACATTTAAGGCAGAGTCTTTTTCCAGTCACCTACCAAAGTCTCTTTTCCACAGCGCGCACCTTTCCTTGCCCTGCTGTCCATCGTCGGTTCCACTGCATTTATTCACCCCCAGATTGTGCACATTTCCCTTTCAGAGGGCTAACAAAATCGCTGACAGGAGCCGCCAGGTGCATTTCTCTCTCTTCTGTACCTCCCCACCCTCCCTGTTAGGCAGTTAGAAAATAGAAAACAAACAGGCTATATCTAGAGCACAAGCAAAGACAGCACCAGTGACTAATATCCCCCATACTGCACATAGGCTACCATGTCTTCCTGTGGGCTCAAACAACAGCTTTACCCATCATCCAATGTGTAAAATCCCTAGCAGAGAACCTCAGGGAGGTGGAGTGGGGCATCACTGAGCTAAAGGCCTGCACATTCTCCCCCAAAAAGGAAAACACCGAATCTGAAACAGCAGTTGTGGCTTTTACCCTTTTTGGGAGATCCGAGCCCTCTTTTTATCTTGCAGCTCCGCGCCGCAGCCCCCGAGCCCCACCGGTTTACCCTCAGTGTGCTTAGTTTTAACATACAACGGATGAGCTTCCAAAAAAAGTCACTAGCTTTGTGAACTTCCCCTTGAATGTGAGGACATCAGCACAGCTAAACTGAGGTCAGGTTGTCTAGAAGCGGACACATTGAGTCAGGGGTTCAGAGGTTTGGTGCTCACAGCAGTGATTTGATCTCTGCAATATGAGCGTTGCTCTCAAATAGAAAGGTAGAGTACTAACAGACCCAAGAAAAGAGAGGGAGTAAGTGAGGTTGATGGGGGGGCAGAGGGAGCTTGTTCCAGCGTCTTCACAAGGGGGGGGATCGTGAAAGCATATCTATCTCTTGGGTGACCAATTAGGGTCCATCTCTGAACCCACACACCCCCCCACACGCCCACAGGAGATGATGTACGTAAAAGGGCAAAGGCCGTCTGCCTTGTTTGTCACCCTTAATGAAATACAAAAATAATTCTGTTCAGTGCAGCTACAACACATTTTGTACTTCCCGCACCCTAAAAAGCAATCACCTCCGAACAGACAGGAAGGAAACGTAGCTACTGTAGGATGATGGGCCTGTGGCCGGCATGAAGCATCACCTGGTTGGAGAAAAAGCTCTAATTAACACCACGTAGGAGAGAATGAATGGAGGAGTATGTTCACAGTTGATCAACATCTTCTGTGATTTGTGGAGATGATCTTTTTAATAAATGGGTGTTGGAAGGTAGAGACGATTTTGTCTGTGATGTTCTTGTTCTGTGAGTTCTCGAAAATAAACCAAGATATCCAGAGCCAAAATGATATTAGATTTGGGAAGCGTGCATTGGCAGATACAGTGTCCTCGCCCCCCCCACCCACCCTCCCTTGTCATCATCTTGAAAAATAATTCATGCATAGATCCCCACTGAGAAAAACCCTTATATACTTTCTCCTTTGTACACATTTATATATAACTATATATATAATATCATTTCTCTATATCTATATTTTCAGCAAAAGATCTTTCCACAAAAGACAACAACTAAACAAATGCTTGAACAGAAAAACATGAAAGAAAGAAAAAGGAACACAATCGAGGGCCAGTTTGGCACTTTGTCATGAGAACACACATCATCTGTTAATTGACAGTAAATAGGAATACTCAAGGATTTTCTTTTGTTTTTTCTCCCTCGATGAAAAGCAAACACAGTAGTACATACTTGGCACCAAGAATGCTGGTAGAATGACAGTATCAGATATCGACGTTTTCCTAGCTAAATGATTACTAGTGGCCCCCTCCTACGGCTCGGTACCATGTGAGTTCCTGGAGCAAAGGAGCGCAGGGGAGAGGGAAAGAATCCCATGAATGAGAGGAACAAAGCAGGGATAAGACAAAGATGTAGAAAAGAGATCGCTAAATGCACGTAGCACGCCAGGGAGAGAAAAGAAGAAGAGGAAGAAAACCTTGAGGGCCAAAAGTCATTTGTCTCTTAGCGTAGTGTCAGGGGGCTTTAGTCTGGAAACGGCATACCTTAGAAAACCGGATCTTTGAACAATCTAAATCGCCCCTGAACGGATCATCTGCTGCCATGCAGTTCAGTTGCTTCTCCACACGACACCGGTGGAGCTGCTGAGTTTGACAGCACACAATGGAGGAGGTGTGTTGTTTGTGGAGAAAGTGAATACGAGAAGAGAACAAGGACCCACATCCAGGGGCCTCCCTTCTAGATCCCCAGCAGAGCCACTCTCCCCAGTCCAAAGGTGGCGCTGTGTCGTGCTAGTTCCTACTATACCCTGGTGGTGGAGTGGGGATGGGGCAGGGTGTTGTTGTGGCCGGTGGAGGGGAAGGTGTTGAAGGCATGAAGTGGCTGCATGCTGGTGATGGTACTGGGGATCATGGTGATGGTGTTGGGTGTCATTAGCGGCACGTCGTCGGGGGCCCGGCGCAGTGCCAGCGTGTAGTCGGGCGGGCAGGCGGGCCGTAGGATGTCGTGGGGCCGGAGGGGCTCCATGTCGTGGTGAGCGTCGTGCTCCGAGTGCTTCATCTGCAGGGACATGATCTCCTCCTCTTGGCTGTGAGCCAGGTCGTTGGCCGTCCCGCCGCGTTGAGGAGACAGCCGGTGGCGCCGCATCTCGTGCCGCTTGTCACGCTTGTAGTAAAGGGCAGCGAATGCCAGGATGTTGAGGAAGAGGAGCGACGCCCCCACGGCGACTGTCACGCTCAGCTCCGTGGAGTAATCCCGGGTGTCTCCGGGGAAGATTTCCGGTCGCGGACGCTCCGAACCGTCGAGGTCCGGATCAGAGGCGAAGGTGGGGTAAGGGTGACGGGTTGGGCCGCGGCCCGATCTGGGGGTGACGTGGCCCGGGCCTGCTGGAGAGCGGGTCGTAGTGGGGAAGAGCTCCTCATGTAGACTATGGAGGTGGGGGACTAATTCCAGCCAAAAGGCCACCTTGTTAGCTCTGTAGTTGTCTCTGACGCGGGGTTTTAATCCAATGTGCAGGTACTGCTTGTCCTTCGAGTTGAACTTGGTCCAGATAACCTCTTCAAAGCGGTTGGGTTTGGTGTGAATGAACTTGGTGTCCTGAGGGACTGGCAGGTTGGGGTCCCTATTGTAGGACAGAGGGGACATCTCAGTCAAAGTTTTAATTGTCTGGCTAAACGGCGTCGCTATCTAAACATTAATTACATCTGTGTAGTTATGAACTTCTTTGGTTCACAAGATCAGAACAACCCTACTATTACTACTACTATCTAAGGCACTAGACCAGGAGTGGCCACACTTTCCCAGCTCTCAAGTTACTTTTCAACTGACCAAGTCATCCGGAAGTAAACTGGAAGTTGACCGAAACGGACGCTAGCTGCAGTCAGTTACATCGGAGAAAGCAAGACAGCAGCTCAAGACAGAGAGAGCTTTTGCATCAGAAGTCAAAAACAGAGGCGCGACATACAGCAGAGAACTGTGCAGAGGAATCCTTCCACGTGTCAAACAGAAGGGCGGTGAGTGGCAAACAGACTACTTAAAGCACCGCTATGCTAAGCTAGCTGCTAGGCTAAACTAGCTGGAAGAGTTGCTAGCTCAACATGTTCCACCTGGTGGAATTCTGCCTCCAAATGATCTCATGTGACTAGTTTTGTGTTTAAAATAACAAACAGTTTATAAAACATATATTTAAGACACTGTTGTTTAAGTGATTACCCATTACTTGTAAGATTTAGTATATAGAAGAATAACAAACATTCATTAAAATCAACATTGTAACAACAAAATTAATTTATCGCCAATATCAAGTTAATGGATTTCAAAATGTGTTTATTATTATTTTTTTCATCATTAATTAATAATCTATTGACAAGCCTCGTCACAACCATTCCGGACAGTCTTGGTCATCACCTTACTCGATGAGTTGCACTGACTTGAATCAGCCAGGGTTGCTTTTGAATGAAATTAAATCCGTTAGTTCACAGGGATTGCTAGTTAGCATTAGCATTATTTTTCCGTCGCCGCATGCGTGAGGTTATTTATTTTATTAATGGTAGGTGATCTACTGGCACTGCCTTTGACCTATCGGGCATTATTTAGTTTATCCCTGAGCCACACCACAGCTAAAACCAAACGTATCATGTCGTCGTGACAGGCGGCTTACCCAGTCTTGGCGAAGTTGGTCCAGTAAGTCATGACAACGGCGCTCAACATCACATCATTCTTGGAGAAGTTGCACGGGAACAGATCTGTAGCACCGATCATGGGAACGCCAAACACGTACGGTATCTCATCTCCGTGGGCGGCATCGGCCCACTCGGGGCGCGTCTCCGTCTGGCAGTGGTGGTAGAAGGTGTAGAAGTAAACCGGCGACTGAAACTCTGCGTGGAGTTTGGCCGTGGCCACAGCGGGCGCCACCCACTGGTGGTCCGTAAACAGGGCTAGGAGCGTCTTCCTCCGCATGTCGCCATTGTCCCTGTCCGCCCAGTCTGTGTACATGAATTTAATGGTCTCCCTCAGGATGTCTTTGCCTGAAGGATAAGACGCGGGAGAGGAAAAGGTAAAAACAAAGAGAAAGAAATGTACGTTAAGGTACGGAAGGAGAGACACATTTGAGAGATAACTGGTCAAGACCTGCGGAACAGGTGGTGGTGGAACAGGAATGACTGACATAGGGAGAAAAGAAAGGGGTTGGTTTATGGGGCGCCGTTTGTATGTTTGTCATGCTTTTTTTTTTGGTAAATGTACCAAAACTGCACAGGATTTTAGAACGTGCGACATCTTACAAGCGGCACCCCGTATTGGTTTGTATGTATGTGTGACAGATAAACAGATACAGCTGAGAGAGAATCTGAACGGACAGACTGAGCGACACAAAAGGGCAAAAGAGAGAAATACGCCCCGACGGAGTGGAGAATGAGTGACAGGCACTTGAGAGGAAGCGGGGATCGCATTATCCAAACGCGTCTGTATTTTGACTGCGAGGTGCTGCGAGGGCTTTGCGGGCTGATCTGTTATGAACAACAGCGCTGTGATTGGGAGCCGGCTGCCTGGGGCTTGATGAGAGGCAGCGTTAGAGCCCACGGAGCCTCAAAGGCCAAAGCACAGACCCACCGTGGTGAAAGATAATCTCAAGGAGAGGCAATCTCTTTAGTGTGCTCGTCTTGGTTGATTCACTTGGGCTGAGCTCACATATTGGTTCTTTTCCAATTCTCGGTCCACATGATGTTACAAAAACTCGCGTATCCCCTGGGAGTGGAAGAATTTGACAAGTTGCTGTTGATGTATGTGAAGTCCAGAATACGCGATAACATCAACTGACCAAAAATATCTTTGTTTGTGTGCACATCTAGCTTAAGGATCGGGGAAAATATTTATCTTACGTCATGTGTTTAGGTCATTATTGTGCTGTGATAATGATTTAGGCTGTTTAATTCTCATTATGGTAATGTATCCTTTTAATTCAGCTTAATGTGTATTGACTCCAGGACGATTTACGCCACTGGGACTATTAATAAGCATAAAAAAACACTTCTGTCATCTGAGAGACGGTAGATGACATAATGTGGAGGACATTAAAGCCTGAAAGGGATTTAATGGTGGCAATCCTCACCCTCAGGGTAGCCATAGAGGTTGTCAACAAAGTTGGAGATGGTGTAGTCGAATGCGGCCGCTGAGATGCCGTCGTTGTCCTCGCTGTCGTCCACAAACTTCAGCCCCTCTCCTTGGTTCACTCCTATAAGGATGTCATAGTTCAGGAACTCCCCCTGGTGGCCAAATAGGGGAAGAACACGTTGAGTGCAGAATGTAGTGGGATAAGACGGAAATCTGCATCTTTCATGTATAGCAAATGTTGTGGGACCACCAATACAAGCTAGTACTTTTGCGATCTTTTCTTCACTCTGTGGGGGGATACGATGTGACTTTGTCAGGCCGGGAACAGAGTATCAGCGTTTGATTGGACTACTCACACACACGCTCAAACTGTGTGGCAAAGGGTTTGTATGTACAAGCTCAAAAGCAAAAGATGTTGTGAGCCGTGGTCCAGAATACACCACGCGGAAATGTGTTTTACAATGTGAGTTCACAGCCGCTTTTAAATTTCTCCGTCTGAGATCCCAACTCAAAAAAAGGTGGAACGGTCACGCCTCCACAAACTCCAACAAGATGTTCATGTTCTCACTGTCTGGTTGTGATCTCAGTTCATCCTGCTTGCAAAACCCCCAAAAAACAAAACGTCTGGGCCACATCCGCAGAGATCCTGGTAACCTCACCTGCTGCATGAGGATCTCAGGGTCGTCGGGCACCACGTCTCCGTCCACCACGGGGCCGAAGGCGATGTGGTATCGCGCTGGCTGGATGTCCTGGTCCACCAGCTCCCTGAAGTTCTTGCGCCTCAGGCAGTCAACCAGGTCGGCCGTCTCTGTGTAGGTGCAGCCCACCTTGCGGGCCAGGATCTTTGTGTACTTGAGGGGCTGGTAGTTGACAGACCAGCTGGAGATGGCGGTTCCACTCTGGGCTATGGCCCTGTGGAACAGACCTGAGAGGACAGATGGGAAAAGATGGGGTATCAGTGTATGCATGCAACAAAATGCAACCATGTCGGCTGATTGTCTGGTGTCTACATTTCCCTATTTCTTGCTTTTTTGCAGGCAAGACGGTGCTCTGTGATGTTGTCATACTAAAGTTTTTAGATGGAGCCACATTCAGAGAGACTTCATGATGCAGAATTCACGTTCGCCTTTTCCAATTTTAGAATTAGAGCATGTTGTAGCGCCAACAAAAAAAGAAGCCGACGCAAGACCGGGAATAAGCTCATCTGAGTCGCCCAGAGAGCCATTTCCCTCTTTTCTTGTGCTGGCTGTTTCTTCTGTCGGACTCTCTCTCTCTCTAGCTTGGTCCCTCAGTCTCCTCCGCGCTGCCGTTTGAAACACTCAAGTGGCTCGTTAGGAGGCCGCCTGCCTCACTCGTTTCCTCTCACTCTCCTTTTCCCTCTTTTCTCCTCTCGTCTCCCGGGCTGAACGATTGGTCAGTTAATTATTAAGCAGAGCCGCGGTGCCCCCTCTGCCTGGGAAATCAATAGTAGTAAAAAGTAGCTTGGAAACAGCTATACCTACGTTTCTGCACTGAGGGAGACGGGTGGGGGTGGCTGAGATGGAGGTATTGTTCCATTTGTTCCCAGTGTCTCTTGCCTTCCCTATGCTGTACATTTGGTGGCTTCCTTCTTCTGATGAGCCATGTCTGTTCTTTTACTCGGCCTCCTTGAACAATGCTATTACCCACCCTGCGGCCCCTTTAAACGCAGGACACCACGGATACCGTCGCCCCCTGTACGTTCCCCCGCCCTCCCTCAAATCCGTGTCACTAACGACCGCTCTCTCTCTCCATCCGGTCTGACACTCTCACCACGCCGTCCATCTCGCTCGGCTCTGCTGCCGGGCTGCATTTGCGACGCGGCGTTGTCGACATGATTGGTGTCCCTTTAAGGGCGGGGATGGCAGACTCCTTACCTGGTATCCCTGGTGGGGGAGGAGTGGGGAGAATGACAGACAGGCGGCGTCTTTAGGGCTGATGTTAGATGCTGACGAAGACGAGGATGGTGACGGCGACGATGGGGTGATGACAAAGCGGAGGCATGAGAATGGACTGGTGGCAGTGTGAGGGGGGTGGTTGTCAACAACAGGAGACAAGGGGTTAATACAGGCTTTCCCGGCCGTACAAACAAACAGGCATTGGTGGAATGGAAAGCGCCTGTGTGCAAAAAGTGGCCATTACTGCTTCAGTGTAACATTACAGAGAATACACTTCTTGATTTACTTTAAGGGAGTCAGATGAGAAGGTTGACACCACACTCATGTCTAAACATGAAACACTGACCACTTTTACTATTAATGCACATTAATGCACATCAACGAGTGGTTATAGGGTGACTCTTTTATAAGTATGCTTTTAAGTAACTATTGTCCTTCATTCATGAAATCAAGTTGTCACTCAACACTTCTAACAACACATTTAAACTTCATAATATAAGAATATTGGATAAGTTTTATTTCTTTATTCAATAATTGAACTAATTCACAGTACTTCTTAAGAGTTAAACTTTTCAAACATGAAGCAGGCTTTCTATTAGACCTTCTATCATCATGATCTAATTATATACCAATTGGGCTCATATGTGGTTTTTACTGTTCAGTGGGTCACCTGCCAACACAGGAGAGAGGATGAGAATGCAGTGGTTAATATGAAGGGTTAGTACACGCCAGTGGTAATCCTACAGGTTGAGTTAGATGAACACAGACAGACGTTCACTCGATCTACCTCTCAAGGCACAGAATGAGTCAAAGTAAGATACCTGATACACACACACACACACACACACACACACACACAGACACACACGCAGATACAGTGGTTATTAAAACAGATGCGTGGTTGTGCGAACACACTCGCTCTAATCTCTCGCGTTCTCCTCACCCACCATCTCTTCCCTGTTTCTGTCCTTTGTGGTTTGTGTTGAACGTGTGAGACAGAAAGTGAACAGAGGGGAGAGATATTGGGGGAGACTCCTTGAGCGGTGAACAGAACAGAGAAGTTAGGACGGAGGAGGAGAGCTGCTCGATCAAAGGCGACGGGTGCGTGACCATTTGGCCGCTCGGATCTCGATTCAGATCAAAGCCGCTCGGGCCGCTTACTGCCGGCGGTTTGGTGTTAACACTTAGCCCCCGGGGAGGTGTTGTTGGTAATGGGGAGCATGGGGTCAGACGGATGGAGGTAGAGCCTCTGAGCTGCAGAGCGGTGGACCGTTAACAGAGCACTGTTGGACCTCCAGTGTTATTTACCTTCCACAGACGTCAACCACATAACCTGGAGCAAACCCAGACTGGCTCATGGGCCACATGGCCGCTTCAATTCTCCGGTTCAGAGGACAAGCAGCGTTTTCCTCTGAGGGATAGAGGTGTCAAGCCTACATCACAGGACTGAATGGTTCCTGCATCTCACTTCATGCAGCAAATACAGGGACGGTCCCGTTTTTTGGGGCTCTGTATTGAAAGCAAGTAAATTATGTGGTGACATACAAAGACAAACGGAAACAAACAAAAGTGAAATTACCCTCCGAGTGGTGGGAGAGGATGAGGAGGTTGACGCAGGACGCCCCAGCTCCGGAACCGAAGATGGTGATTCTATCCGGGTCGCCGCCAAAGTGGCCGATGTTCTCGTTGAGCCAGCGCAGCGCCTGAATCTGGTCCAGCAGGCCGTAGTTCCCCTTGGCGGACTGATCACCTGTGCTGAGAAAGCCTGGGTGTTCGTAGGGACAAAGTGGATGTAGGAGGAAGGTGAGGGAGGGTATTTAAGAGGGAAGGTGAGGACAGATGGGAAAAGAAATATAGAAGAAGAGATGCAGGGATTGGAGGAGAAGAAAGAGAGACAAGCCGACATTAGTATCTGTACATTTAGTATTCAGCACCTGTCTGGCAAATATTCCCTTCTACGGCCTGTAAAGCAGCTTCTGACTGGGAATCGGAATATGTTAGAGTGTGTGTGTGTGTGTGTGTGTGTGTGTGTGTGTGTGTGTGCGTGCGCGCAACACCATGATTCATCAACAAGGACTGACACACGGAACACAGAATAAGCAAAGGAAGTGAGACCAAATTGCTTTTTCAGCTCCTCTCCTAATGGCGTTAGCTCTGTCTAATAGCGTTAACAGAGGCTTTCACACAAAGACACCAACAGCAAAACCGCCCGTACTCCCACGAATATAGGAGACCCTAATCAGAATCACATCCATAACTGGACTACCAGCGATGAGACATTGTACAATGTCTTCTTTACCCTTATCAATAGTGTTATGGCATGACATTTGAAAAATAATCAGAGAGGTTTTTACAGTAAAAAGCTTTGGGGACATTTTAACTTTTCAAAGTAGAACTAAAAAAAGATTGTATGTCATCCCTTATTTGTGCAGTCTCTGTTTAGTATATTTACACCTCATTTCAGTTTATTTCTTAAGGATGTTTTTTTAATCTTTGCCATGGATCCCTTGTTTTATACTTGTACTATAAAAATGTACGAAATGAAAAAATAAAAGAATAAAAACATGTATATATATTTATAAGAATAAAAACATGTATATATTGCATGATATGCATTTGAGATACGATTTACATGTCATGAACACACATACTTGCTGGGGGAGAGGGAAATAAAAGCATGCTAAGATCTAATGAACTAACACCGCGCTGGCTCTGGCCTCTTTATGGGATTTGCTGACAATTGGAACGGCTCAATAATGCAGATGCTTAATCTAGTTACGTAATGACGACTTCGACTTCACCACCTCTAAACATCTGTGCATGCATCACTGGAAGCACAGTCATGACTTATTCAATGCTTTGATCTTATTTAGTTTAGTCAATTTCCTTTGCTGCATTCATTGTGTTTACCAGTGGCACAAAATCCTTTTCGCAAAGGGAATTTCCCTCGTGGAATAGAAGCGTTCATCAAAGTCGCTCTGGAACCGCTGGTTCACCCGAGCGTTGTAATAATGGCTCACCTTTTCTGACATTTGCCTCTCATTATTACTGCTCAGTATCTTCGATTGTTCCACCGAAGACCTACATCTTTTCTGTTTAAATGCCCATTAACTGGCGGCCTCTCAGATCCTAATGCGACTCCTAATTAGAGCTTTAATAAAGGCGGATGGGCGGGAAAGGTCATCCGTTCAACCAGTACAGTGGAGGTTAAACACTTGTGTAAAGTCAAATGTTTGGATCCTTCCAAACATAGCGCTGTTGTCTTTTTCTTTTTTCTTTTATATCTTTTTATTCTATTTCTTTTATGGAAAGTTGTTTCTGTCTGTGGGTTTTGGTTCAGGACATGGGAGTCAGGTATTCCTTTCAACACATGTATTGTGGTGTAGTGGCGGGTTGAAGGATACGAGCAGCAATCTATGTTTAAGTGGGAAAAAATACAGCAAATTAAATGTGTATGCCGGAATGGTAACAATGTGAATCCGACCGGTGCTTTTTCAGTACACCTGATGATAAGCAGACAAACAAACAAACCAAGCTGGAAACATGACAATGGCAAAGGCCCAATCAATAGCAAGAATTACAATAGCAGGAACGGGATTGTTTAATCTGTAAATGAACTGCAGTGAGAAGCACAGCCTGGCTCGACCTCACCATCTCCACCACTTCTAAACAAGGTGCTACCTTCTCGAATGGACGTGAACACAGTGTCACCTAGTGGCCAAAACATGATACTGAACAATAGGATACATAATGGGAGATGTCTCTTCTTCCCCCAGAAGAAGTTTTCCTGACCACCCTTTTACACTAACATATTTATCCTGAATTCACTATTTTATTTGATCATATTTTATCTTATGCTAAAGGCCTGTACTTAGCGAAGGTCATAATAGCACCATTAATATGATCATTTCTCTGATGAATATTCATCATCCCGAGTGATCCATAAAAACAAAAAAAGGTACCATTATTAAAATATCAGTAAGCACATCATGCATTTAATGACTTTGTGCTGCTCTTTAAACGCCACAAACAAGCTGCATGTCTGAGTGCATTAATTAAGCCGTGCACAAACACGAGGCAAATAAGCTGCCTAATGCCCTGCTGTAATCGCTATGATATATTAAACATAACCAAATGTGCTTATGAGGTCATCAATTAGGCTGATTAATGCAAGATGAAGCTACTTCTATGTCAGAGCACTGCGGGAGCAGCGTCCAGATATCAACACGTGGGAACCTTTTCATCACTACTGGGCAAAGTCACATAGATCACCTATATGTTTTGCACTAGAAGTTACTGTTCTTACAAGCATGAAGTACAGAAGCGACCCAATCAGAGCCACGGAGAGAGCAGAGCCCCCCCCACGTTGTCTCGTTACAGCTAAAGCCGCCGTCCTCCCTGTGCCTTCACGCCGCGTCTATCCTACTGAGTCAGCGTAGAGCAGCAGGCCACTTCACCCGTCCTCCTCTTCCTCTATAATCTGATAAAAGGCTTGAAAAAAAAACAAGAGGAGCTGGTTAGAGCGCTGCGATACCAGATGAAAGCCCGGCTCCACATGAATAGCCTTTAAAATGGCTGTGGTGAGGAACGGTGGTTGGGGGGGAGAGTAAAGGAGGAGGAGGGACGGATAGTGGGTGTTCTGTGAGTCCCGGATAGAGGCAGTGTTTCATCTGCCTCCAAGACACCAGGGGTTGGCTCGCACGTGCACGCGCACGCACACACACACACACACACACACACACACACACACACACACACACACACACACACACTGATCAAAGACTGAGACTACAGAGAAGACTTCCTCCTTTTCTCTCCACCTCCCTCTTTCTCTTCCACACACACACGCGCACACACAATATAGATGTGAGCGCACAAAGACGGGAATAATGCAAATACATCCCCTCATCCCCTCCGCTTCCATCACACATGTAAACAGGAAACCCATTCACACACACACACGGTCCCTGTGTATAATCACCCAGAGGCGCTGGCATGCCATTTTTTCCGTGCATTTTGACCGGCCATTTTTAAACGTCTATTCAACAGTCCCGGTGAAGCGGCAGTAACTCTTTTATTTGCCTTCAGAGAGCCATGGCATTATGCCTGTGGCACCAATCTCACACATTTCTTGCGTGCATTTCTGTGCGTGCGCAGAGGTGCGCGCATCGGTGACTTTGGATGCAGCTATACGTGTGATTATGATTTGTGTGCGAACGGTGGGGCTGCTGGATGACAAACTGTGCTCCTTACACACTTTATCCCGTGTAATTTCATTGTTTGAGGTTGGCATGGGTGCAAGTGCTCTCTGCGGGTGTGTTCTTGGCAGCATAGCAATTATTGTCTTTCAAAGGGGAGTGTGAGTGTGTGTGTGTGTGTGTGTGTGTGTGTGTGTGTGTGTCGTCCAGGGACACAAACAGATGTGGGTGGCTTGGGGCATCTGAATAATGGATTGGACTCACACACTTTTCAAAGGACACAAAAACGCACACACACCTCAGATTGTGCCTGGTTCTTACCAAGCTGAAGAGAACCTGTTGGATAGACAGCATTTTCACACGTGCAGCCTAAGAGTATCATGGTCAGGAGCCCAGCACACCTCTCCGTCCACAGATCAACCAAAACCCTTTGCCGGATCACGCCGGACGACGCAGGCGAGGCGAAGGGGGAACGTAAACACCAATCGGCCTCTCGAGTTGTTCAGAACTATTGAATGGCCGTGGCAACCAAATTATCTGTGAAATGATGCCGATTATGTGCCCTCACACTGGCCAGGACCTTTTTAAGTGTGTGGATATGTCTAATGATCTGTACCAAAAAACAAAAGCATTGTGGGACGTGAGCAATCAGCCGCCTGGAGGAGGAGACCGGGGGCCGACCGGCCTCACCTCACCCTCAGTAAAGATGGTGCCGCATCCTTCCATTTAAAAGGCAGAAGATGTGGATAAAACCTAATCCAAGTTGCTTACCTGTGTATGAAGGAAATATTGGTTGCATGTAACTTTACTGTCTGTAGTTTTTAACACATTGATGTTAGCCTGAGTAGCGTAGGAAGCTACCGCTAATGCTAACGCAACAATTCCTTCTGCTGCTTCCAATTTAAAGCATTCAACTAGCTAAAAACACAGAGTAGTCGCTATTGTGTTTGCAGAAAACGCAATGTTTGTCAGGGTTAGGGTTTTATGTCGGACTGAAGAAGCTGCTCAAAGAGTCTTTGCTGTAAAAGTAGCAAAAGTAGTAGTTGATTTGGTGACAACCACCAGGTGTCACCAAATCAACAAGGAAAAGGAAATGAAGTCGTGAGCAATAGAAGAGTAAAAATGATGCTTTTCTGTCAGATTTCAACTTATGTTTCCTCTGTTTCTCTTTTACCAATTTTCCTTTTCATTGGACGGCCTTCGCTTGATCTCCTCCGTCCTCTGAGGCTCAGTCCTTCCATCTTCAAGGCTTTGTGTGTCTGGGGTTGTGTTATTAGCCTCTGAAGTCCTGTTCCTTGCGTCAGTGTGTTTGGTCGTTAGCGGCTGCACTGTCATCGCACTTTCTTACAAGCCTCGCCACTCGCTCGCTCCTCCTTTGAAGAAGTCGAGGACACGCAAGTGAGTGTGTGTGTGTGTGTTTGCATTAATTGGTTTTGATGTTGTCTCGAGCTGTGTGTTGTCCTACTGTGTGCGCCGTGTTTGTGTGGTACAACGACACAGAGATCATCCAGAGAGAAAATGTGTGCGGACGCCGGTGAAAGAGAAACCGGGCCAGCTCCCAGCAGAG